ACTAAGGATGCTAATTGATAATTCGGACAGTGTACACTTTTTGTAAGCTGGTATTACCAATCGGTGGTGCAGACAGCCTTTGTGTACCCGATAGTAAAATAACCATAGCAGGGCCCATTTACAGGGATACTGTTATCCATACGGGGGTTTAAATACCACCCAGCGTTCACTTAGAGTCGTTGAAAGAGGATAGTATATTAATGTGACCTTCACTACGTCGTAATCAAAACAAAAAATTCTTTTTTAACGATGGGTTGAATCTTCTTTCAACATTCCCTACATTCCTCCATCCTTGTCAAGGATCTTCATTTTTGTTGGGGATCGTCATTCATAAAATATTACAACTTAAAGTAGACAGAAACTGTTGCAATATAAAAAGAGAGCACACTCTTTTGAAAAAAAAATCGAGATACTCCTTATTTTATCTTTTTCACAACTGTTCACTGTATACGCGACTCTAACAAAAACAAGCCCTTGGTCAAACCTTTGTGTCCCTATAAACTTCTCAATGCTTTAAAAATCGACGGTGATCCCCACAGTATTGTTTTCTTTTTTCAAACTTGCACTAGCAACCGCTTCACACCGCTTTCAAAGTCAACGAGCATCACCACAGCAACGTTTTCTTTTTTGAAACCTGTACCAGCACCAGCTTCACCGCACTATCAAAATTGAAACCAACAACCACAGCAACACTTTCTTTTTTGAAGCCTGTACCAACACTAGCTTCGCTGCACTATCAAAATTAAAACCAACAACCACAGTAATGTTTTCTTTTTTGAAACCTGGGCCAACACTAGCTTCGCCGCACTATCAAAATTAAAACCAACAACCACAGTAATGTTTTCTTTTTTGAAACCTGGGCCAACACTAGCTTCGCCGCACTATCAAAATTAAAACCAACAACCACAGTAATGTTTTCTTTTTTGAAACCTGGGCCAACACTAGCTTCGCCGCACTATCAAAATTAAAACCAACAACCACAGCAACACTTTCTTTTTTGAAGCCTGTACCAACACTAGCTTCGCCGCACTATCAAAATTGAAACCAACAACCACAGTAACGTTTTCTTTTTTGAAACCTGTGCCAACACCAGCTTCGCCGCACTATCAAAATTGAAACCAACAACCACAGTAATGTTTTCTTTTTTGAAACCTGGGCCAACACTAGCTTCGCCGCACTATCAAAATTGACACCAACAACCATACTATTTCTTTACTTTATTACAACAGTAAAAATAAAAATTGAAATAATAGCCATATAACAAAATCTCGACACTCAAAAGCAATACACTATTTTCTTCTACACTTAGAGTGTCATACACTACCATTCTCAGAATTAGTTTTCAACTTTTGCACATATATACTATTCATATCATTATACTTCTGAAACCTTCTTATTCCATTCCATCGCATATAACTTTCAAAGCTTTCGACTTTTAGTATACCTTTGTGTGACTGATTCTAAATCAGGCGGACACTACCGAGCATAACAGCCCACTATAGAAATCGTTTTTTTTTATCAGTGTATACCATGGATGTCAAAACTCTGTCCCACGCATCACATACACGGGCAACCTACAAATACTGCCTACAAATAACATCTTTCTTTAACCCACTACTTACTTTTCACTATATAAAAAGAATATACTACTATTAAAGCTTTATACTTTTAAATAAAAGTAAAATAAAATAAAATCACAGTCTTGTTCTCATATAGTATATTTAGATTATATTATTTTACTCCATATACTTTTGATAATAAATTGAATTTTAATTTTACGTCAATATTTTTTAGAAAGAATATATCTATAATTCTTTTTCTTTTTGTTTTATTTTTCTATTTGTGCCTGTGCTTATATTTGTTTAGATTGTTTTCCGATAGGTATATCTTCCTTGTATAAGCTTTGTAAAATATACTATACTAAAACTTATATTAAATAGAATGAATAGATTATAAAATAATATAAAAAAGTAATAAATAATGTACACAGTAAAATTTAATGCTCAAGATATATATTATTTATTAGTCAACCAATAAAGGGTGAGTATGCACAATAAGCAAAACACATATAGTTTAACCAATAAGTAATGAGTATGCACAATGAGTAAAATACATATAGTTTAACCAATAAGTAATAAGTATGCGCAATGAGTAAAGTACATATAGTTTAACCAATAAGTAATAAGTATGCGCAATGAGTAAAGTACATATAGTTTAACCAATAAATAATGAGTATATATGATTATTAACTACATTAAACCCTTAGTTATAAGCTAAAGTAAACTTGTATGATTACTAAGATATGTATTTTTAGTCAACCAATAAATAATACTTATGCATCATTATTAAGAACTATATATCTTTGCAAACCAGTAAAGTATGTAGCTTCACTATGAGTAAGAAATATTTTATTGGTTAAAAGACTAGTAGATATGCAAGATTAAACAGAGTTATATTCTCAGTTAACCAATAGAGAGTAAATATTCATATTCATAAGACATATATTTTTAGTCAACCAATAAATAGTAAATGTATATCATTATTAAGAATGGTATTTTTTGCTAACCAATAAAGAATGCAGCCTCAAGATTTGTAAAGTTGTTTTGCAGCTAAATCAAGAAAGGTGCATATGCAGGATGAATGAGAATTACAATTTCAGTTAACCAATAAAAAAAAGAATATATAATATCAGCAGTATGATTCTGTCCAGATCGGCCGCCTATTACGTTCGATCTGGACTGAATGGATATTTCCGACAATCTCGGACCACTGGAATCCAAAAGAAAATAATATCGTAAAAACATATACAATAGTAATAATAACTTTACTTTCTTATAAACATAAAGCTTGTATCATATATCTCTTAAATAATTTCAAAATAATCCATATATCTTGTCTCCTTAAGATTCTAATTAAAATTATATTGGTTTTAAGCTATAGATAATGATACAATATACATTTTAATATATTCTTATAACCGATTTGTTCTATGATATATATATATATAGTAATTGTTCACAATTACATGGTTCTTTTTTTTGTTAATACTTTAAATGTATGATAGACATTATATATATATATATATATATATATATATATATATTCATACAGTTAAAGCTATGTTTTCTAGTGTGTTTAATATATGTAATACTATCTAGATGCGGACCCATTTTTTTTTATAATTACACTCGGTGGAATTTAATCAAAGAATAATAACCTACACAATAATATTATCGAGTTATTTTGAAACAGTCGGTATTTATAGTCAAAATTTTACCCTATAACTATATATATATAAACTGCTATTGTATCTTGAATACACTATTAGGTATATATATATATTCTTCTTCTTCTCTTCAACATACACTGATACAAACATACAACACAAATCACTATTGATCTATATATTTATATATAGCTTTTACTTTATTTTAGATATACTGTTCAGCCTATTTTCATTCTTCCCTTCAACATACGCCCACGCACATGCCCATGCACACGCACATGCGCCCACACACACTCAGGCATCTGTCTACCAGTCAATTGGCTGCACCAATATAAAATATACAATATCGTCTATATCGTTTTATGTCCTCTTACAAACTAAGGATGTGAATTGGTAATTTGGGCAGTGTGCACTTTTTTGTAAACTTGTATTACCAATCGGTGGTGCAGGCAGCCTTTGTGTACCCGATAGTAAAAGAACCATAGCAGGACCCATTGACAGGGACACTTTTATCCATATGGAGGTTGAAATACCACTTAGTATTCACTCAAAACTATTCAGAGAGAAGTGTGTATTAAAATAACCTTTTCTGTGCCGCAACCAAACCAAAAATAAAACTTTTTTAACGATGGCTTGAATCTTCTTTCAACATTCCCTACATTCCTACATCCCTGTCGAAGATCTTCATTCCTGTTGGGGATCGTCATTCATATTGTATTGCAACTCAAAGTGGACCGAAAGCGACGCAATACAAAAAGGAAGCGCACTCTTTTTAAAAAAAACCAAAATATTCTTTGTTTTATCTTTTAGACGGCTGTCCATAGTATATATGAGTCGAACAAGAAATAGGCCCTCAGTCATACTTTCGTGTCCTTATAAACTTTTCAACGCTTTAAAAACCGACACCAATAACTACAATATTCTTTTTTTTTATTACGCCTAACAACACCAGCTGCACAACGCTATCAAAAGTGCTATATACCACTGTTCTCAGAACTACCTTTAAACTTTTGCACGCACATAACACTTGTATGCTTATACTTCCAAGACTGTCTTCAGTGATAATGATCTCATCCCATCATACATATTCTCCAAAGCTTCCGACTTTTACTATATCTTTAAATAACTGGTTCTAAACCAAACAGAAATCACCCATCACAAAGTCCTGCCATAGCAATCTCTCTTTATAGGCGCACACAATAATTCTCAAGTCTATAATAATAATAACATTGTTACACACCCTAATTCTCAAACCTATCTTATATAAAAAAAATTATTTCTTACACACTGCCTCCGTCTATCTCACTATCCTACACTCTTTACACAGCACAAATACTCTACTATCAAAACCTTCTTGATATCTTTAAAACAAAATCGCTGTTACACTACACTCTCATTCTTCTTTAGCCTTTCACTTTAATCAATTCGACTCGGTCTCCACCTACCCACTTACCTTATTTATTTTACTATATGTGCACTTAATTTAATTATCCTTCCATTCAGATAAACCCTGCCTCTTTTTCTTTTTTTTCTTGTCAATGTCTTTGACATTGAAAACAGAACTTAAATATATACTAGTAAACAGACACTCTGGCTTTATATTTACTTTGTATAATTAAGTCAAATCTCATTTTTACTTTTACTCTTATTTCTATTTTAGTATTTCAAAATGTATTGCTCTGTAATCATACTTAGATTACTTGGTTTCATGAAGTGTGGGCACTTCATATAAAGGTTTTGTGCTTTAAACAAAAATATCAGGTCATTTGTATTATGAGTGTGATGTACACAAAATAAATTAATAAGTAATATTTCTGTGTACAGGCTTTTAATTATGCTGTTAATTCTATTATAATTCTCAGTTTAGACTGTTACGCAATTAAAAGGAGTACTAACCCTGATGTTACGGAAAGTATATCCGAAGTTAAAATATATGTAAACTATACATGAGTATAATTATGAAACACACTCTATATTTTAAATGGTATCTCAGTCTATTTAAACGGCTTAAGATTTATATTTTGAGTACAAACTAAATAATTATTCCCATATTATTGTGTAGCAAAGATGTTTTTTATTTACTATCAATGTGTAGCCTCAGAATCTCTAACCAATAAGTCATTTTTAAAGTAAACACAAGAACTAACTGGATGCATATACAAGAACAATATGTAAAATGCATGTTTTTTGAAATCTTACTCATTCCAAAGCCAGTCCCTATTTTATTTTATTAATCAATGCTCTTTAAACTAGTACATTTTTTTACAATCCTTCTTCTTCTTCTTTTGCATCACAGTTTAATTCTTTATACTTCTACATTTTGCTTTTTTATACAATTTAATTTTAAACTTGAGATCATACCTTTACACTGGTCTTCAAGCAAAGTATACTTAAGTAAGTTACTCTGCAGTACATATATAATAGGTTGACCAATTATATTTTGTTATCCAATTCTTTTTGTTTATTCTTTGATGGTTGATAGAATTTTTCAAAAGACAAAAATCTATTATATGCGGAAGAAAGCGACTATAATAATTACGAGTTTAATGAAGGAAATAGTACTGATAATTATGTAGTACTCAGAGTTTCTGTTATAAAACAGCTCCACTTGGTAAACAAACAGGTATAATTGTTTTAGCTAGAAAGATTAAGTCTAATATTATAAAATCAAATGTGAAATAAAATATAAAAGTTCTTTTTTGAAAATACATTTTTGGAGATTTCACGGTCTTTCTATCATTGACAAACCAAGTTTTAATTTTTTTATTTAAATATGTGTTTTGAATAAACTGGATATGATAATAAGTTAAATAGCAATAATATATTTATCTTGAGAAATTGCTATATATTATAAGTGAGATAAACAAATAACATTAAAGAGAATAATAGATGCTGCACATAGTGTTTTACTTAATAAAGAGTATAGCAATGACTTATAGCAATATTTGAGTTTTATGTTTTAAAGATTTCTGTTGATCAATAGCTAGTTGTAACCTAGGGAAGTCTATTAATTTTCTAAATTATGACCTTGTTAGGGACAAGAGACAATTATATAATATTTTTGGATTATGTAATTAGCTTTCTCTTAATTATAAAGCCCTGTCTGTAGGCATCAACCCGTGGTTTCTTTTAGAAATTATTGTGTACAAAGAGCAACTTTAAAGAGAAGCATATATATATTTACTTATTTTTTTAGGTTCAACACATTATAAGGCTCATTTTATCTAAGTTGCACATATATTGTCTTCTGTAATCTCTACAGAAATAAATAAACATTGAAAATAATGAAAAGGAAAAAAGGCTATCTATCTATAAATAAAATAAACACATATTAAAAAGGATTTAATTTAATGAAATAAAAAAAGGTGTAAAAAAAGGTTAAAATTTAATAATCAAACAAAAAGGTTAAAATTTAATAATCAAACAAAAAAGTTAAATTTCTCTATTATTATTATTACTATTTATTATAAACATTTGTTTTTATAATTTATAAATTATAAAACACAGAAACACAAATATAATATATCTATAATAGCTTCAATAGAACTCTTATTAATTCTCAATAAGTTGTTATATGTTTTTTATTATTTTCCAATAAATCTTGTTATTACAACATCAACTAAAAATATTAAATTCATAGTTGATAAGATTTTTACTGTTTGTTATATTTCAGTTAAATTTATATCAAAATCTCATATAAATCAAAGAAATATATATATTTTATTAAACCTGACAAGATACAACTATAATAATAAAGATATATTCTGTTCTTGGTCTATCCTTATAATTTCTGATCAGGGAGCGTATTGCCCCAATTGACATTTCATATCAAATCCGTGTCTGATAAAATGGTATATGTTCTGTCTTTCAATACTACTCAAATGGAGACTGAAAACATCACTTTCCCACTGCAGGAGTGAGTGTCGGATTTCCATTTTCGAGCTAATTCCAACTCCGAAAATTCGATATAATTAAAAGTCCGCCGCATCTCTTAGCATACTCGTTTTTTATTGTCTCTAGCTCTTTAATGCACTTGTTTTCAGCAAAAACGAATTATTAGAACGCAAGATAATCAAAAATTTGGTTGAATTACATAAAGTACAAAAGGTATAAATTTGGGTCAATTCAAGCTGCGGTTATAATTTATTTGTTTTTTTAGTTTTGTAATACATTGTTTTAATTCTGTCTTTCACTGCTCTTTTCACAGGAGATCTTGATAATATTTTAACTTTATATTGTTTCTTTCTTCTTCTTTTATTTCTAAAAGCATGTCTGTCATTATTTTTTGCTTTGCTTTTTTATTAGAAGAGAATGTTGCAAATGAGTATTGAGTACTACTGTAATTGCGAATAAGTTGGAAGGAATAAAATATTAGTCCACAGCTATTCCAATCAAAGATTTGTAACACATGGATTTATTGTGTACATAAGTGTTTATATTTTATATAAAGATATCACCATAATAAGGGATATATCAATGAATTAGAAAGAGGATAATTATAACTCACAGACAAATGTTATTAATATTTTCATTAACATTCCATTGGGACTACACACGCATATATATAATTAGTTGTATACAAACTATTGACACAGTTGATTATATCCATTGATGTTTCTTGTATGACTCATCGCAGTGAACTTTGAAGTAGTGACATAGCTTGAAGATTGTATCAAAGTAGTTAAATAGTTTTTTTTTTATTTTTTTTCTTAATAAAATTGTCTTTCTACCCATATTCATTTTCTTATCACTGAGTTGAACATTTACACTACATAACCAACCCATCATGGGCCACTATTCAAAAATCAAGCTTTTATATTTAATGGTCATTTAAGATCAATTACCAGACTCAGTCATAATTTTCCTGACCCAAAATAATATAAATAGCAGTAGTAGTTCAGTGTAGAAACCTGGTCAAATTTTGATATGACCAATTTTTCTTATTAAATGGAACCTATACGAGTTCTTATAAATTTTTGTTTTTCATTCGAATCTTTCTTTAAAAGCAACTTCTTATTAGCCTTCAATCACAACACTAAAGAGAAACCGAAAAGTTTGGTATCCCTACAAAATAAGAGTTTTATTTTTGAAATCCGGATTGTGGTATTTCAGTTATAAAATAATTGAAAACAATGAACTTGGTAATAGGAGACATATAGAAATACTTCGAGACTGTATATAATTTTTTCTTACTCATAAACAAAAAGTGTCTCTTTATAAGAAAATACGATATGCTCTTATCATTATATCTTAGTTTCTTAAGGCTTTTTTCTTCTGCTATATTTGGCTATAAGAGTATATTTACTGCTTAACTAGTGTTGGTGTTATAATTATTATATTAAGTCATATAGCATACACTCTTTTCAGAAAGTGTTGGTGCAAAAACATTAATTGATTTGGCACACAAACAAAGATAAATTCGATGCATTTTTTCATATGATCTCTCTGCTTAGTTCATCTGTTTTGATACGTTTGGTACATTTTAGTTTTGTACAAAATTAATTTTTATTTTTCCGCCAAATCGATTTTTGCTGGTGCACCAAATCGATTTTTGCTGGTACACCAAATTGATTTTTATTTGTGCACCAATAATTTTCAGTAAAAGTGTAATTCTTTAGCAGCTAGTTATTTTTTCTCTCTTGCATTAAAGCTTTACAAATTTTGCTAATTTAGCTCCATGTAACTTTAACATAGTTTGTCTGACAGTATCATATAATTATCTTACAAATCTTTAACATAATATCTACATTAATAATTGTTGTGGTATACGCACCACATTTGAGGAAAATACAAACTCCATAATCAAAAACGGATACTAAGAATGCTAATAAACCTGGCACAGTCCCATCTCCAGGGCGTAACACACATGAAGCACTCATACATTTCACACTGCTTCACTAATAGCTAACTAATACCCGAATAAGATCTTAAATTAGGGAGCCAGATATATACATAAACAGCTATGATTTTTTGTCTTAAACAAACAACATTCTCGCAGTAACTATTGTTCCCTATTTAAATATTTTTTGTGTATCTCAATTGTAATAATTATTGGTCTGGTTACTAAATCATTTATATTTATATTCTATGTATTGTTAAGGTGATTGCAACTAAGCTAACCCAGTACAAATATATTCTTATATGTAATAAATCTAACAGTTGAGTGTCTATATCACCACACATATAAAAGAAAGTCGCTAAAGTTAATTCCGATTCTGTTGCTTTTCAGGTTTTTTTTTTGAATATTGCTTTATCGAAAGGTTTAAAGAAATAATGAGATTCTATTGAAGTCATTCAATATAGAAATTCACAAGTCGCTTATGTTTTTTATATACTTTATAATGATCTTGGATTTGCTTCGCATTTCTATAGTTCAGGAAACAAGTAGTGGATGAAGTATACAAAAGCACACATCTCACAGGGACCTCTTTACAAATAAGTAAAGCAAATATATAATACTTCTTAATTCTATAAAAATAAATAGAGCTAAATTCGAACAGAAAACGACTTGGGAAATAGTATATGTCAAAACTAAAACAAACATGGTAGAATACAGCAATAAAAAATTTGGAATGTGAAAAATTACTAGCTGGGTGCAACAAAAAGAGGAGAGGAGTACAAACTTGTTATTCAAGATTTTGGAGGAAGTGTTTATTACCTCTTTGTCATGTTCCTTGCCATAACAATATATTTTATGAAATGAAGATGATGGTGATATTCGTTTCAATTTTATTGTGATGACTTTCTTTGATAATAATGGGAGGGATAATAAAATAGCTATACACTTAGAGGTCGAGATAGAGAATAAGAGACTGTGAGCATGGGCAATAGAATAATAATATGACTGTATTCATTTTTGTTGAGCTATTTAAGATATCTTATATATTCCAGCTATTTTGTAGTAGTCTTTCATAGGTACTGTGTTAATTGGATTGTTCTAACTATCATTGATTGACGTTGTATCTTATCAACAAAATACCTTGGAATAGTGGCTTATAAAGCTACCAATGATTCAATACTCTGATTCTTTAAAAAATAATAATAACAAAAAGACAAAAAAATGTTAGTATATATATATATATGTGTGTGTGTGTGTATGTTTGTGCGTGTGTGAACTCAATTATCTCTTATGCTTTGTGTATTTGTGATATACACATCATAATTGAGTGAAATACAGATTCCACAACCAGAAATTGGCTTGTTTTTGCAAATGAACCTGAAAAGTCAACAATTTCTGGAACTGTTACAAGCTAGGCACATGGTCACTATACGCTCATACAATGTAAATGAATCATTACTTAACAACGATTTGAATTACAGAGACTTTAATAGTAGCAGATATAACCAATATCATTTTTTGATTTAATAAATAACACTCTCACAATATCTACTTTTTTATATGTTGAGATGCTAACCCATAAACAGTCCTGAATACCTCAGTATTAATGTATGCATCAAAGATACACCTTTTGTTTATTTGATAATTCAAAGAAATTTTACTCGGCACTACAAGCTAAAAAGTATATAATTATCTTACAGAGATCTTTTATAGCATCTGTGCGATGAAAGGTGTAAGATTAAAAAAGAAGCTGTTATAAAAAGGTAATATCTACATATGACTTATTATCCTGCACGTATCAGTTTTTGCTTTGTTTTATTATTTTTATTTGGGGTACTTTAATATACAAACACAGGCAGAAGTACCCGTCAAATATGTTGATATAAATGATTATACAATATGAAGCTCCTATCTGAAACATAATAGCAATATGTTTGATTCACCATTGGATCATCTTCAAGAAGTGCTTAAACTATTATTACAAATATGCTGCGATAATTTGTATCCAATGTGATTTGATATATCCCGATAACTGTAAATATCATAGCTAAAAATAACTTTTATTAAGATAATTATATTTGACTGAACATCTCGTAAACAATAAAAATGGCCTCAAAGTACTTGTTGTCCCAATATTTATTACACGTAAATATAACATTCCCCTTTGAGATTTGTATTTTCTTTTCAAGATTCCTCTCTCTTTTTATTTTGCCTTTATAATTTATAGTACTTTTCTTTATTACCATACTTAGCATTTATGTTTCCCTTATTTTCATATGAATATTTGGAGCTTTTTTCAATGAAAGCATTACTTATACTAATCAAACGGTGTCTTCTTCAAACGCTTATATACTTGTGTTTCTATTCTAAATAATTTTTGAGAAAGCGATATTATTTGCTACTTCTACTATTTATATGGTGATAATATTTTATATGAAAAAATGTAACTATTTATCTGGAAAAAATTCTATCCAATTATTCCAATACATGTCAGAACCAAGTGTCTGTGCAAAACTATATAGTATGCGTACATTATTTATTATTTTCTAGAGTATCTCTTTGACCTTGGAAAGGAACGAATGTTCCCCAATAAAGTTGTTGAACTTGTATTTTATAGCACAAGCAACATACACTTTTTGCGAAAGTCATTAGTGTTAACCAGGAATATTTACTAGGCATTTGTAAAGCCCATGTCTAATACGAATTCGAAGAGTCATAAATGTTAATTGTTTAGAGAGACATTAATATCATTCATTTAAATTATAGAAAACAATATCTCACTTTTTGTTATATGGTACTTCTAACCTAAATAGACAGCACTACATTATTGATTTATTTGAAAGAACAATAAGTTCGATGTACTCTTTAACTCATAAACTTGGGGTAAAGGAGTGTGGATACTTCACACACATCTTAGACTGATAACTAGTAGTATCAACTGGAAGAAAAAAATTACAGTAGATAGTAAGTCAGGCGCATGTTTACAGAAAAAATGCGTGGAAGCTAATAAGTTTGACCTTTCAGAGAAGCCATCAATAACGGGAACCTTACTATGGTGGCTTGACGGAAATAAACACATTTACTTTCAACTTATGTATTGTGACTTTTGCATTCACAAGAAGTAAAAACCGATGTATAAACTTGGAGTTTGCTAAGGTAATTGAGATGTTTTCTTCATGAGTGAGTATCTATTGCTGTTTTATTTGATTGTAAACCTGGAGGAATATGTTTTTTACCCTTAGTTATCACTGTGTGCAATAGAATGCGTGTATAGAAAGTTTGATTTTTTAAAGTACTCCGGTTGGTGCTGAAATGTGTATTTTACATTATCTCAATTGGTATAGCTTTTTTTTTTATTTTTTCAGGTAAAAGCCCAAAAAAACACAAAGACGGAATAGTAGACAAACAGCTGACTGTAGAAATATTTAATAATATAATTCATAGAACAACTAGTTCATACATGATAATTAAATACTTAAAGTGATGTTACAATGACTGTTTAAAGTTAATATTTTGTTTGCTTAAATTGTCAGTTGTAACTTGGATATTGACGGTTCTAATGTATTAGGATCAATGTATATCTAAAAGGCTATTTTAATTCTATTAGCATATCAAATAGAGCAGATTAGCTAAAAGTCAGAATTGACCAAGTTTACCATTTCTTTACTTTCTTTCTATAAGCAGGATGGTGTAGCAAATTAAGATCCACATATTCAACTTTTTTTTTGGATATTGATCAAATCATTTACCGACAGAAACATCTCATTTATTATCTCTCAAGAGAAAATTGTATCAAAAAAACAAACTAGTTGTTTTCACCAAAAGTTCTTTTTTCGTTGTCCACTTTCAATTGGATGAACATATGAAAGCAGCCTGTGTTTTTTTTTGGTTGTTTTCTCTATTAAGTAAAGCAGTGTAGGGATTCAGTACAGCTAGGAATTCTCCAGGTGCACAGCAACATTTAGGGCTTTGGCGTGTGCTAAAGAGTTTTCTAGTATCAGTGTTTATTTTTTTCAGCCGATGAGAACTGGATATTCATTGAGAGACTGAAGTGCCACTTTGTTATTATCTGTGGGCAGATACTTGATTTGGACAATTGAAAAAAGATTATTGCGAGTTTTTCTTGGCCTTGTTCGCCGTCCCACATCTCTTCCATCAAAAGTACAACCTTCTTTTCAATTCAATTGCCAGCGGAAGAAGATAATGCTGTCAGAGATGTTTGATCTTTTTTGATCTTGTTTTTTAAACAAATCAAATAATACCGCTTTAATGTTCGAACTTTTGAACTTTTCAGTCTGTCCGCACTAACTTGGTGTGGACAGATCAGAACGGTCAAGAGTGTGACTATTATTATTAAATTAAATTTTTTTATAAAAAAAAATGCCAGCCGATTTTGATCGATAATTCTAGGGGGGACGACATTTTCTGGTAGGAGACGACATTTTCTGGTAGGAGACGACAGTTTGATTCTACCGGACCACAAATCATGACATTTCTGACGGCATGGAATAACTCTACCTGGTTCCTAAGGGTCCGTTCTTTTTATAATAATTAATATCACCCAGGATACAAAATATTCATAACGATGTTCTTTTGTACTTTCCAAATAATAGTGGATGGGGATTACCTACCAGTTGGTGCTATCAAACTGTGAGAATATATATAGGTGAAAGAAGGAGAAATATACGGTGTGCGTAAGGATAATAAATAGTGAAATATCAAGTAAGATTGCGCCACAATCTAATGGCAACAACTTCTTATGATCTTCTGCATAACTGGCTATTGATATAGTGTATTTGGGACTAATTATTATTATTTCTTTATTGTCAAGTCTAAATTTAGGACGAAAACTGCTATTAATTGAATGTACAGAATTTGATTTTTGCATGAGACAGTATTTTATTATTGAGTTGCCAAAATGCAGATTATGGCTCTTAAAATAATGAGAGTTGGATGCCTGGCGAGAGATAGATAAAGACAAATTTTGAGGACAAATAGTAAGTCTAATGCATACAATGAATATATTGTGTTTTTTTAAGGACACTCCATTTTGCCCTGAAGGATTAGAGAAAGACACTGGGATTCGGAAATGTAGTCACAATTGATTAGTCTGATTAGATAGAAATGTCGTCTCCATAAGATTGCTGATTTTGATTAACCAGCTCTCATCCATTGCCAATTAGACTAAAAAGAATAAGATTAAGCTTGATTGAAGGGACGGGATTATGGACACTTGATTTTATCTTACAGGGGGAACCGGGGGTGTACTTAATGAAAGCATAAGTACGTTTCTTATATATTTCGTTATCCAATGATTTTGCTTTATGACTGAGGATAATCAAAATATAAAAGTACAAATTTAGTGTAAACTTTTTTTTAATGAATTAATTAATGTGTTTACATTTTAAGTTTGTTGTAATTAATTCACTATAGTAAGATAAAGGGCGGATCTATTGGAGATTTATTGAAAGGTTAAAACCGAGGGCTCAATTTATGGTTTTATGATGCAAGTAGTAAAGAAAAAAGAAAAAGGACTAGATCTGGGATACCAGATTGCATATTGAAATTTGATCTCAAGATGGTGTTAATGCTTGTGGGTATTGTGAAGATCAAAGACACACAATCTTAGCTGTCCAGGTACACTATGCATGTATTTAATCGCAATTGAGCTGCTTTAAAAAAAAGGAACAGCTTAGTGTTTATCAACCTACATATTGGGTAAAATCAGAATCACATATAATTTAAGTAATCGCCTACATGACGAATTGTTGAAATAGATTTGCTATAAAACCCATTCAACCGTATCGAGTTACAGAAAGTTGAACAATACATTATACTTATACACATCATTGTACTTACGTATAGATAAATACTTTGAAACTGTTCACCTTTGATCAATGCATATAAAGAGCTAAAAAGAAATAGGATCCATCTCGGAAAGCTTTAAATGATCCGTCCGTGTAAACAGCAGTTAGATAATATCACAGAAAAAGAAGAGATTCACTCTTAAGAATTATCTGAAGAGTGTTATCAAAGGTATATTCTTTGTGTTTCCGGTAATATCTTGAAAAGTTTAAGTACACTTCTAATACTTGTCCATATCTTTGCTCTCTAATACTGAATTTAACTTGACATGGTCTTTAAAGATAGTATTACAAAAAGTCTTTATGATTCTATGACTTTTCTTATAAATCATTCTAGATGAGCTAATATATTTATTTTGGAGAACATGTTTTCTTACTATCTGAACATCATTCGTGTAATATCTTCCTTACTTTTGTCTTGGGCTTTTGGTATATAATTTATCAATTAAGACCTGATGGTAATATTTCGGAGAGGTTAACCTGTGCTATTCAATTTGCAGATGTTGTAATATGAAGAGAGAATTTTCCGACCTGGTTATAACCGGGTATATCCAATATGACTTTTGATAAATAGTTACGTTCTTTTTACTGCGTGAGAATATTTTGTGATGTATTTTAAGTTTTTTTTTTTTAAAAAAAAAAATGCTAGAAGAACATTGCAGACGAGAGGTGAGACAAGAGTGAGTATTGAAAACCTACTTTTGTTTTTTGAGCTATAATGCCGTATAAATGAATATAGTGTCTTATCTTTGCAAGTTTTAGTAAAGAAAAAAAAACAGAAGGATGGGATGCTGATTATTACGATATCTATATACTCGTTTTGACTTGATATCTTTGTTTTATTAGATTTTGAATAGTGTGTAGATCTTAAGCTACCTGTAATACCCAATATGTAAGATATAGTTAAGGTTAGACTATAACAGGACTGAAAATACCAGAAAAAAAGTGGTTTTTATATTCTTGTCCTACGACTATATTTTACACAGAATCCTTTTATATATATTGGTGGTTCAATTGGCCGGCTTTTAGGATTTTATTCTAGAATGATACCAAGACTGAAAAGACTGAAAAAGTGAAAATAAAATTAAGCCATGAAACGCCTTTTTTCTTTTTTTTTTTGGTTTTGGTTTTGGAAATCTAAATGATACTGGTAAGTCTTGATCGAATATATAAATCCTGACCAGTCATTCATTATTATTCTTGTTGTCGGTATTGAAATTTCCTTTTAATATATATATATATTACAAGTCAATCAGATTCGATCAATGCTTACACTGTAAAGTAAGATAAATATAAGAAGTATCTAAAAAATATCAACATATATTTTTGAACATTTCAAATCTATATTAATGCTAAATGATAATAAGAAATGCACGATACTAATAATGAATTAATAAGAATTGAATATCTTCAGTCATCTGATAAACTATTTTTATTACTACAAAATAATAATAATAATCAATGAAACACTTTTTTTTCTCACAGCCTCGTGTATAATTGTCAAACCAATTGTTGGCAAACGTACAAAATCTTGTCGTCATATTTTCATTCTATTAGAATCATGGACGCCCTTTTGTGGTACTGTGCTTGGAAATCGAATTGTCAAAATTCTGAAATAAAAAGAGATCCATCTCATTTTCTTATTATTTTTTTGGACCACCCAATTATGTGTTGAGTGTTTCAATTTTTTGGATTAATATTAGTATTTATAGATCTGTCAAAATGTATATATTGTTACATACAAAAGGTGTCAATCCAACCTAGTCAGAAACATGTTTGAATTCATTTGTCAAACTGTGTATTATCAAAGGAGAGTTGATATTGCAAACTATAGGTTCACAGGCTTTCCTCCTTTTTTGAAATAATTTGTTTCCAAGCCAATATTGGACGAAGTTGGAATCAATATTCAGTAATTGGATATTGATATCAAAATAATTTCTCTATCAATTAATATCCGTTTATTTTTATGAATATTTGTGTCAAGTATATAAAGGATATTCAAAGGCTGCCATTAATATTAACAAATGAATTCTAGTTTCCTAGCTTATTATTTTCCCACTTCTGAAAGACAAATTACACAAAATAGACATGTTGTCATTGTCAAAAGAAATGTCTTAATACCAGTCCATACGTGTGTCTAATACGTATATAGAAATAAAGTAAAATAAGAATACTGTTCAATGCACCAGGCTTTTAAGTATGGTCTTTAAATACTCCCCCTTTGCACAGAATGCGCTCATATTCCCAACTTACATCTCTCCTTCCTTCATTTTACACATTGTGCTTTGCCTAGCTTTATTTGACATCCCTTTAATGCACAGGTGTCTATGCACGTGATATACTACTACTGGTTAATCAGACTTTGTCCATTCCAACCCCCTAGTACTCTTTCTTTTTTCTCTTCCTTTTCTTTTCTCTTCTTTATTCCTTCTCTTCTTGTTTTATATATAGCTATACTCATACTTTCCTTATTTCTTATTTTTTTTTTCTGCTTGATCGTAATGTCCGTAATCTCAACATTAGAATCTCAATACACAATGTCCTTTTGGATCGGCCTTGGAGTTTCAGTGATAACGAACCTCATCCAAGCTTTTTCAATGGCCTATCAACGCAAGTCTCACATACTCAATGATTTGTTTCCGAAAGAACTGCGGATAAGTGCTTACAAACGACCGCTCTGGGTGGCTGCATTTGGATCATACATGGTCGCGAATATCATTGGCTCTGTGTTTTCGATCGGATACCTACCTATCGTCATACTGGCTCCGATTGGTGCCATGAATCTTGTCTTTAACACCGTCGCAGCTAGACTAGTCCTGGGAGATCCATTGACCCAAAGAAGCATACTAGGTAAAGAAGAAAAAGAAGAAGAAAAAAAACCAGAAAATCGAATTGAATTGAACATATTTGAATGACCTATATTTCAATAATTCGTTGCTATGGTAACCATTGAAAAACAATCCAGAAAAAAAAAAGCTTAATTTTTTTTTATATATCTCTTTTTTTTTGTATGTGTGTATATATTTGTATATATATGTATATAATGTGTATATATCTATATGTATAAAAGGTACGATGTTAATTGTCACCGGTGCACTGTTGGTTGGATTCTTTGGGATCATTAATGAACCTAACCACAGCCTGGACGATTTGATTCTATTATACAAAAGGCCTACCTTTATAATCTATTTTGGCATCCTAGAGTCAGGGTTGTTGTTAATGATGCTAATAACACAATATCTCGATTATCGGTATGGTTCTCTTGATTTGGATGAATGGCCACCTTCGAAGCGACTTTTGGGTATCCGATCATTAGGATTAGTGGATCTAAAGACATATATTGGCATGAGGTAATAAAATAGTAATAGTAATAATATAAATGTAAATATAAATATACACACATATTTTAGTAGAGCGAAACAAGAACGAGTCAATTTTCTGTGATTGGTTGATTTGCTTGTGAATTCATACGATATTTGTATTTTTATCTTATTTTAGTTATGGTATTCTTGGGGGCTGTGTGAGCAGTCAGAGTTTGCTGTTTGCCAAAAGCGGGGTTGAGTTGATCATCCTCACCGTCGTTTACAAGGAAAACCAGCTCCAGTATGCACTCACATGGATATTACTGGCAATGATGGTCATTACTGCCATATTACAGGTAAGATAATGTGTAAGATGGTCAGTCAGAAAAAAATCAATTGGAAACCAAAATGGAACAAGACATCTGGCTTTGCTTTTGTGAAAAAAGAAAAAAGAAAAAATATGCAAGATGTCTCTTGTTCCATTTTATTTTATGTGTAAATATATATTTATTTTATTGTACAAAAGTTATTCTATCTCAACAAGGGTTTGAGACTGTGTGACACCGTGATGCTGGTGCCGCTCTCCTTTTGTGCGTTTAATGTGTCAACGCTGTTTAATGGGCTGGTTTATTACGACCAATGGGACCGCTTACAATGGTGGCAGCTCGTGTGTGTTTTGGTGGGAGTATCATTGACAGTTGTTGGAGTGGTATTCTTGTCATGGTGTGTGAACCCTATTGCTAGTGTTGCTGTTGTACAAGAACAAGAGCATGACGCGACAGAGACGACGCGTTTGCTGGCCAAACGACAAGGTGTGTCTTGCATGTAAGAAAACCATCATCTAGTCTCAAAGGACTTGAACACCCGATTAGCTTTCCTTTGGGAGCCCATGGGTTTTTATAGTAGAAAAAACATTTGTATAATTTGTTAAGCCCGAAATATAGAGTTAATTTTTGTTTTGATTTTTTTTTTCCTTTTTGTTCTTCTTTTACTACTACTTCTTCCTTTTCCTATCCTCCCTTTTTTTTTCCTTGTTCTTCTTTCGCATCAGCTCATCAAGCCCTTGACTCATCTTCAATTTTTTTTTGGCAAGAAGAGATTGAGAAAAAAAAGAAAGACCTTTCCCGTTAAAACAACAACGTAAATACACACACACACAATATATATATATATATATATATATATATATATATACGCATACGCCTACGCATATAGATATAGATATCAAGTATATAAATACGAATAATATTGCACACACACACACATATATATAGACATGTGTATGCGTATGTGTGTGTGTAGTTATACAAGTTTCGTCACCTAAATACACTTTCATATTTTCTATACACACATACATACATACATCTATACGTACATATTAATATATTAATATATATATATATATATATCTTAATATACATACATATTATATAAAAACATCAACTCCCTATTTCTTACTCGGGGTTTTCCCTTTTATTTCTTTCATCTATAAACTTGTTTAGAAAAACCAAAATAATACCATGACTTCATACGAAACACGAACACAATCGACAGGTGCCAAAGGACGGGCCGCAACTACTGAACAAAACGACTTTAAGAAACTCAAGTCTAAATACGGCTCCCAGCTATCTACTCTTAAAGAACTATTCACTGACTGGACAGACGATGACCTTTTGTTTGCTATCGAAGATGCAGATGGTGATCTTGTATTGACAATTGACCGCATCAGTGAAGGTAAAGAATACTAATAATATTAATAATAACAATAATAATTACTTGAAACGCGCGTTTTTACTTCTTTCTTTTATTTTGGTCTTTGCACCACAATCTTAATTCTTTCTTCTTCTAAAATAAAACCTTTTCTTTCTTTCTTTCTTTATTTATTTTAGGCCATGCAAGCCAATGGGGTGAAGTCAAGACAAAAAAGTCAAAGAATGGACAAAAGGCAAAGCAGCCGACCAATGTCGCATCAGCCCAAGTCTCTACTTCATATCAGAGAACCGAGCACGACCGTCCTCCTGCAAGAGGATTTAATGACAAGACCAAGTCTAGCGGAAGAGGTAAACTATATATAAATATATATAAATAATACCATTGAATTGTATTATACACCGTGAGAACAACTATGGCAGCAACAGCAACAACAACACCAAAAACACCAAAATACTTTGTGAATATTCATTAAAAAAGAGAGAGAGAGAATAAAAGGAGACAGGGAACAAAGTGCTGCGTGTGTGTGTGTGTGTGTGTGTGTCTGTATACAAGAAGAGGATATACATATATAATTATATATTTACAAAACTGTGAACAGATAGTCTAATGCGTATCTTTCTCTTCTTCTATATAGGACCAAAGCCAGCTCGTACAAACAAACCAGCTACTCAAACAGCCGCATGGCCAAGACCAACAAAGCCTTCTACCTATCCAACGACTGACAATGGTGGTTCATGGGCTTCGATTGCTTCCACACCCAAGCATGACACCCCAGAAGAACCAGCACAGGAAGACGCGTCTGGCTGGGACGCAAAGATCACTTCGTCCACTGAATGGGCATCCTCAACCTCCTCTTGGAACGCTACTTCCAGTACCACTGCCACAACAACAACCACTACCACAACCACAACCGCCGCTTCCTCCTCATCTTCTACCGAACCTCCCGCTCCTGAACCTAAGTCCGTATCTGAACAAAGTGCCCCCATAGAACAACCCAAGACTTGGGCAAGTTTGTTAAAGTATGTGTTTTTCTTTTATATATATGTTATATGTGTATATATATTTAATAATTTATTGGTTATGTGTGTGCGTATGTGTGTTTGCGTATATTATTATTTTTCTACTCTGTGCGTATAGGACACAACCCAAACCAGAACCAAAGAAGGAAGAAAAAGAAAAAGAAGACGAATGGAGCTCATCCGTAGTAGATGAGCAGAATCCAGCAGCGGATGGATGGTCAAGTGATCCCATTCCCTCCGAGCCAGAGCTTAAGCAAGAAGAACCCGAGAAAGAACAGGAAGAACCAGAACCGGTAGAAGAGCCTGTCTTTAACAAGAGCAAGCATAATGTACGCCGCTTGAAGCAAGAGGAACCAGTAGTTTTGCCCAGTAACAGTGCTACACTGGCAACTGTCGGTGTGAAGTTTGGTAGTCTGAGTTTGGAAGAAGATGAGGGTTTAGAAGTTACTGGAAAGTCAATCGAGATCATCTCTTTGCCAGTGGAGGAATCAATGTAAGTATCATAATAGCATGTACTTGTGTGTGTGTGTGTGTGTGTGTGTGTGTGTGTGTATGTGTATGTGTATGTGAGTTTGTTTTACTTCTTTATTTTTTTTTAAAAAAAAGTAAAGAGAATTGTGTGCAGAAATTGGATCATGTATACTAAAAGACATTACTATATGTATATTGCGTAATCCCCCCTTTTTTTTGTTCTTTTGTTCTTTTACCTTCTCTTACAAACCCACCCTTAGTCAGCCTGAAACCCAGACCACGACATCGATACAATCATCTCCTGCAAAAGAACCCGAAACACAGACACAAGCACCATCTTCGGAAGATGCTTCTGCTGAGGCTGGAGCCTCTTCTCCAAGCGCCCAAAAATCTGCCGAAGCACCATTTACTCCCACCGTCTCATACCTTAAAGAAGAAGTCATCCAAGTTACCCAATCAACCTCCCCTCAACCCCAGACCCACGCTACAACTCAGTCTACTCAATCTAGCTCGAGTACCACACAGGCCCAAGCTGCTACCACTCAAGCACAGCAACAAGCCGCTGCCGCTGCTGCTGCTGCACAGGCACAGGCACAAGCACAGGCACAGGCTGCTCAAGCTGCTGCTGCCGCTCAAGCACAGCAACAAGCTCAACAACAGCAGCAGGCACAGGCTGCACAGGCCGCCGCCGCTGCCGCCGCCGCTGCTGCTCAAGTTCAGGCCGCTGCTCAAGCTCAGGCTGCCGCACAAGCTGCCGCACAAGCTCAGGCCCAGGCTGCTGCCCAGGCACAAGCTCAAGCTTTGGCTCAAGCCCAGGCCCAACAGCAATCTCATCCCCATATCCCTCAACAGCAGCAGCAGCAACAACAGCAATTCGGTGGTATGGATCATCTCACTTCTGCCTACAGCTCTTACTTGCCCAACCAGCCTCCCACTGGTATTTCTGGTTTTGGCATGAACCCCATGACTGGTAATCTCCCAGACTACAGCATCTACGGAAGTGAAGCCCAGAGAGCTGCCGCTGCAATGGTAAAAAAAAGAGAGGGAGATAACGAGAAAAGAGTGAAAGAGAGAGAGAGAGAGAAATAATGTGTTGGTCTGTGTATTGGATTCTCGATTGTATATAATAGGCGTGCACTTTCTTATGTCGTACTAATTATGTTTGCGTGGATTTATAACAATAAAGGGTTACTACGATCCTGCCGCATTCAGCCACTCTCCTTCTGTTACTTCTGCAAGCACTTACCAGGCCAGAGACAAGTACGGTCAGGATGGTACTAGCCAGCACTCTACTGCTGCCAACCAAAACGCTATCCCTCAACAGGCTCAGATGTACCCGACCAACTTGCCTTACTACCAGTACTATTACATGCCTAACCAGTACAGTGGTTACCAGCAGTCTGCTTACGGCCAGCCCTTTATGAATAAGAGCATGTACCCTAGCATGTACCAACAACACTCCGCAAAGCCTTCTTCGCCTTATGCTGGATCTCCTTACGCTACCCACTCTCAGCATCTCTACAGCCAATCCCAGACTGGATACGACGACATGAGTGGTCTGCAGCAACACCTTGGTGGTAACGGTGCCGGTGCTGGTGCCAGTGCCGGTGGACTTCATGATTACCATAAGTCATCATATAGCACCAACCCTCAACTCCAGGGATTCTTGAGTCTTCAGCAACAACAGCAGCAGGGTCAACAGCAACCTCAGCAGGGTCAACAACCTCAAGCTCAAGGTCAGGGTCAGGGTCAAGGCCAACAGCCCCAGACACAGGCACAGCAGGCTCAGGTTCCCCAGACATCGACCAAGTACGACAAGTCAAACGGAGCCGTGAATGCAAGTGGAACTACCCCACAGCAAGGCCACATGGCCAATCCCCAGCATCAGCAGCCTACTCAGCAGGCTCAACAGACTCAGCAGCAACAACAGCAACAGCAGCAGCAACAGCAGCAACAGCAGCAACAGCAATATCATCAAATGGGTAACCCCAACTACTTTGGACAACCCCAGATGTTCTCTTATCAGCAGTACCCTCAACAGTACCAGCAGCATCCTCAACCCCAGACTCAACCTCCTTCAGCTGGTCGCCAGCAACAGCAGCAGCAACAACAACAGCAGCAATATTGGAACCAATAAAAGGAAGTTTCCAAAAAAAAAAATCAAAATCCAAAAAAATCATTCTTCTTTTAATTATATTCTTTCGCCACACACACACACACTTTTTTTTTCTTTTCTTTTTTCTTTATCTCCAATCTTTCTTGTTTATTGTCCTTGTATTTATCTTCGCTTTGTATCATAGTCTCAAAATTTCCTTTCTCTCTCTCTCTCTCTCTCTTTTTTTTTGTTGTTGTTGTTTGTTTGTTTTTATCACAAATTTACCTGCTTGAAAGAATAAGAAGAACAAGGAAAAAAATATATATGGATATTTCTTTTAAAACAACAACATAAATAGGAATCTTTTCTTGTTATTGAGAAAAACGAATAATTGGTTCAATATCTTATCTATATTTTTATTTTAAATTTATGTTGGTATAATGTATGTGTGTTGTATGTGTGTGTGTGTAAAAAATAATAATATTATTATTGCAAAGAATAGGAATTGAAATAGAAAAACTGGTATCTGGGACGTTGATTTCTTTTCTTTATTTTTTTTTGGAGTTGAATTAATGCTGTGTTTTAAAAAAAAACCCAAAAACACAAAATCTAATCAATCACCTAAAGGAGAAAAGGCTCTTTGATGAGGTAAAGAACGTGGTGAGAATGGAGGTATGGATGAGACAGCATATGGACTTCTGATATTGGCCCGACGACTTGGTTCATACAATACTACAATTCCGTGCTGTGGGTGATTGAAACATTGGAATCCGCTCTGAGGTGAGGAGTGAATGGCTTCATAAAGCTCACGCGCTTCGATGTGATAATCAACGTATAGATCACAAATCATCAGGTGCAGCTGTGTGAGGGTATAGAGATTCGAAGGGCCTGCATAGTACTTTGCTGGAATGATTTCCTCTAGTTTCTGGTAGGCAACCCAGGCTCGCTCAAGGGTGTGGGCATTTCTATCAGGCTATTATTTTTTTGGAAAAAGAATGTAGATAGATAGATAGATAGCAAAGAAGTATATATATATATATATATATAGGGATAAGATGGGTAAAAACAGACAAATAAAAATGAATAAATGTCAATAAAGTAACTTTCTATCTTTTTTTTTAACAGTAATTATTAACTGTTTTTATTATTAATATTAATATTGTTATGGCTATTATTATGTTGATGATAATTATGATTATGATTATTGCTATTATTGCTATTATGTTATATTATATTGTTGATTTAATATTTGTATCGGAAGGAATTCAACATTACCAAGGCATCTCCAAACAGTTTACCGTGTACATTGTCAGATAATACTGAAGATGCTGTCCAGCCATTTGTCCATACCAAACCGCTGTCATTTGAAAACCTTCGATCTAATGGTATATGGTCCTGGATCCATTGTCCTCTAGCGGTTCGCTCATACTGTAAAGATCCTGCAGATGTGCTTGTATTACCTAGTAAGCCCAAAGAGAGAAAAAAAGAAGAAGAAGATATATTAGCCTTTCTCTTTTAAGTTTCAATTTCAAATTTATTGTATGAACCATCTCTTACCTCGATTACTCGGCTCACCAAATAAAAAGTTTGAAAATAATGAATGTGTCGACTCTTCAACTGTGTCTGACAAGGTCGCCGATCGTCTTTTCATTGTCGGGGTACGAGTACTGCTGCTAGGTTTCATTATCGCTGCCTGTTTTGTCGGTCGTTGGATAACAGGACTACCGAGCATACCAGTCGTACTACTACTACTACTGGTGGCGGCACTGGATGCTCGGCGGCCGTTTGGCATCTGCCCAATGGGTGTGATTTGAGTATGGGATTGGCGGGATGTAGGCGTAGGTGTGATGATTGTGTTTGTGGCAGACGATGCGGTGGAATCTGAAGACGAAAGCAGCCGACTTGAGCTGTATCCCAAAGGAACGGGTATGGCAAAAGGAACCGGGCTTGAATGTGCGAGATTACTACTACTACAACAACTACTACTACTGTTACTACTACTGTTATCAATGCCGCCGCCTATTTGCACAAGAAATAAATAAATAAAATATTGTCGTTAGATTTAATTCAAAAAATGAAAAACCAAAAACAAAAACAAAAAGCAATAAATGCATACCAATCCCAATCCCAACTCCAATCCCATGCGTAGCCACCGATCCAGGAATAAATGAAAGGTTAGTAACCGGTACATGCCGACTGGGGGGTGTGGACAGGGTATAGTCTCCAAATATACCCCCTCTTTGTGTCGTATTACTGGATGACCCAACAAGTGTGTCTATCAAAACCTGATGTCTAGTTTCATCGCCCATGTTAAACAATGATGTCTGCGGTAACGGAGGAGACCCCGAGTTACAAGTTGCTGTAGGTGCAGGTACATGTGCAGCTGTAGTTGTGGTTGTGGTTGTGTTTGCAGGTTCAAGTGGGGGAAGGTAGAATGCCTTGCTTAATAAACATTCGATTTCGTCTTGAGATTTCAATCGCTCTTCTTCTTCTCGCTCTCGGGCTTCCTTTTGCTCAAGCGCTTTTCGAGCAGCGACCGCTTCTCGTCTGGCCTTTTCAGCTAATGCACGTCGTTTACGCTCGGCCTGATCACGCAATTCTTTTTCTGCCAAATCACGCTTATCTTGTTCTTCCTTTTCTTTACGCTTCCGTTCCCTTTCGGCTGCAGCCTTTTCACGTTCTTCTTTTAGACGTCTTCGTCTTTCCTCTTCTCGTCGTAGTCTAACTTCTTCCCTTTGACGTCTTTCTTCTTCTTTACGAACCCTTTCTTGTTCTTTTCGTCGGCGTTCTTCAGCCAAAAGTCGTTCGGCCTCTGCTTTGGCAATTGCTTCTTCTTTCTTACGCTCGACTTCTTTTGCCAATCGTTCTGCTTCTTGCTGTTGTTTGATCTGCCTAAAATTAATTAATTAAATAAATAAAAGGCAATTAAATTTATACACACACACATATATATATATATATAAAGCAATCATTTACGCACGTACATATGTATGTATTTATGTATGTACGCACACATATATACTCATACATACACAGAAACCTAATCTAACTCCTACATTACATTAACTGTTGCTTACCGCCGATGTTCTCTTTTACGCTCTTTCTCAATTTGTTTCTTCCGTTCACGCTCTTCCCGTTGTCTCTGTTCTTCTTCTTCTTCTCTTAACAAACACAACTGTCTTTCTTGGGCAACTTTTTCACGATAGGCAGTCAAGACTCGCTGTTCGAACATGCGAGCAGCAAATATTTGGAACATATGTCGACCTTCTTCCATCTTTTCTTCTTCTGTTTTGACATCCTAAAAACGAACAAGAAAGTACAATTTTCATCAAGGAAAATCAAATCAATAAAAATACATCCCTAAAAATCCCATTTCAACTTGTAATTTTTTTTTAAAAAAAAAAGAGAAATGAAATAAATGTATAGACATATAAGCAGAATGAAAGAAGATATCTTTATTGAATTAATGGTAATAAACAATTGTTTATATATATATATAATTTTAAAGAAAAGAGAAGAAAGAGATAGAGAGAGAGAATATCTTACCTCGCCTTCGACCTCATAGTCTCCATCTTCATCGTCTTCTTCCTCTTCCTCTTCATAGTATCCCTCCTGTTGTTCCACACCAGCCTTTTCTTCCTGCTGCATCCTTCTTTCGGCCAAGCGTTCCATCATATCAAGAAATTTCTTACCATCGTTTTTTAGTAAATCATCAGCAACAGTAAGAATACCGCCTAAGAAAAAAAATCAAAAAAAAAAACTTTAATTGATAAAGACTATATCTTTATATATATATATATATATATATATATATTTGGTTACCTCTCACAGTTAAACTGTTACCAAACCCAAATTTGTCTGCATATCTAAACGTAGGCATCGGAGGTCGTGTCGCAAATTGATTACGAGGACGTGAGTCAATAACCCCACTACGATCGATAATGGCGGTAGTTTTGAATGGTCTTTCTTCTTCCTCTTCTTCATCTTCGTCGTCTTCGTCTTCGTCTTCGTCATTATCATCCTCATCCTCATCCTCATCCTCGCCCTCGTCTTCCTCATCTTCTTCTTCTTCATCATCTTCTTCATCTTCTTCATCTTCATCTTCATCTTCATCTTCATATTCTTCGTCTTCTTCTTCGTCTTCGTCTTCTTCTTCTTCTTCTTCGTCATTATATATTTCTTCGTAATCTTCATCTTCTTCGTCCAGCTGATCGGGATCAAAATCGTACATATTGGGCTGTTGGTACCCCGAAATAGCGGTCGATCCTCCATAGATACGAGTGCGTTGCTGATGATTGGCGTATTGTTCAAGTTCTTCGTAGTACGCGTCGTAGAGAACCTCGAGTTCTTCTTCGATCGCTGTCCTAAATAAAAGTGATAAGATTAGAATACTATATCCCAGACAATATATATACACATTTATGTGTGTATGTGTGTATGTGTGTATGTACACTCATACATATAATATCAACTGATGAAATAGAATTTATCAAAGCTAAGGAAAGATTAAAGAGACGTAGGCCAGACAATATATATATATATTAAACAATATCCAACAAAGTTGAAACTCTGTATTACTATTACTATTAATATTAATACTAGTGGAAGTAGTGGAAGTAGTAGTAGAAGAAAAAGCAGCAATGGTAATGTTGCTATTAGTAATGTTTGTTGTTATACCTTTTCTTTCCACAGACTGAACAGTTGCAGTTATGTTTCTGTTGCTCTTTCATTTTTCTCAAGACAGCTTCCTTTTCGACTTTTACTAGAGATCGTCTTTCTTCTTCGCCTAAATGTAGCCAGAATTCACGAATCTTTTGTCGTTCTTCGGTATTGTTTCGACACATCCATATTTCCTCAGACTTTTGCCGAGTCGGCCAAGAAGGGTCGTCTTTGGTTGTTTTGGATTTCTTTTGTTTCTTCTTCTTTTTATTATTATTACCACTAGTACTGCTGCTGCTGCTGTTGTTGTGGTTGTGGTTGTGGTTGTGGTTGTGGCTGTGGTTATTTCGGTTGATGCCGTTATTATTGTTGTTTTTGGTAGTAGTCAATGGACTGTCAATCATTGGATTTGGAGTAGGAGCAGAAGAAGGCGAATAAATTGATTTTGTCATTTGAACGAAATAAAAGAAAAGAAAGAAAAAGACTAGATGAAACAAATGTCAATCCAGGAAAAGAAGAGAAAAAAGGAAGGGAATATTTCCAAGCGAAAGATGATCTATTGAAATCGGCTCTAAGCTCGGTGAATGAGAGGGGAATCCTGGAGATGGGTCAATGACCAAAAAAAAAAAAAAAAAAAGAAGATAAAAATGTAAAATAATAAAAATAAAATAAAATAAAATAAAATAAAATAAAATATATAAAGACAAAAAAGAAACGGGTTTATACAAGATATGTAGACAAATGTATAAATTATATATAAATTATGTATATTTAAATACACACACAGACACAGACACAGACACAGAATCTAATATCCAAAGGGAAATTAAAATAATAATAAAAGAAGCTACTGCTTCTACTACTACTACTACTACTACTACTACTACTACTACTACTACTACTACTACTACTACTACTACTACTACTATCACTGCCACCACTATTGAAGTGCTTTATATATGATATACTTGTATAATACACAAAAGTGCTATACATATACATATATATATTTGTAGTGTATTTATAGTATTTTGTGCCTGTGCCTGTGCTTGTGCCTATTCATATTCATATTCATATTCTTTTTTGGTTCTTGTTTCTGTGTGCTTTGTGTGCTTTGTGTACTGATATGACTGTAGATTCTTATTTAAATAATATAAATAAATAAATAAATGCACGCACAAATAAAATAAGGTGGCAAGAACGGAACTTGCAGATGTGTTACCTAGGATCCAATGATCAAATTCAAAAATAAATAAATTGTTATAAGAAATGGACGAAAAAATATATATCTAATTATATAAAAAGGGGAAAAAAAACAAAATAGGACGGCGCTTATAGATGTACCAGAGAGGCACAAAAGAAGGGCTAATTTGTACTATGTGCTATGTATTTTGCACTTTTTATTGTTATATTATATCATGAAATATTTATCTAATATGTATATAGCCCTTTTTTTTTATTATTATTATTTCATTTGGCTTCAAGATAAAGGTGACGTCAGTTCATTGTTGAAATCAAAGATTATTATTCTTAAAGGCATGGTTGAGGATGTATGAAAAGGCGCAAAGGAGCAAGGTAATAAAAGAAGAAAGAAGAAGAAAAAAAGAAGCATACATTTTTATAAGCCAAAGGGGTCGGAGGATAAGGATAAGGATAAGGATGAAGAGTAGGAGAAGAAGAATGGTAAGTAGAAAAAGGACCCATGGCGTGGGGAACAGAAGAAGGACCAAAATGGCCTGGTCAGGTTCAAAATTAGATATACATTCCAAGGGGACCAGGGGTGGGGGGTGATTAGTGGTGGTTTGTGGTTTGTGGTTTGTGGGGGGGGGGGGGGGGGGGGGGGGGGGGTTTAGGCGCTTCAGAACCGAAGATATATATATATATATATTATTTTTATTAATAAGTCTCGAAGATATTATTATATTAGGACTATTTATTATATTTCTCTTCTTCTTCTTCATCTTTTTTTTTTGCTATTTGCTTTTTGCTTTCCAATTCCACTTACCACTTATATATATATAAAAAAGCAAAAATCTCAAGCAATCACATAATTGAAATGTATTCTCTTCAAACCGCATTGCCACCCTTTAAGCGAACTCAGAAGCAAGTGAGATTTGCCGCTCCCCAGGCACAAGAACCTGTGGCCCGCAACCATGCCCGAACAGTATCAATGCCTCTGTTACCCAGCCAGCAAAACTCTCTTGATGTCTTGCTTGATGCTATTGATTTGGACCAGCAGATGAGCGAGCGTTTCAAGGACCAGGTTGCAAGAAAATCAAATGTCTCCAGAGGCCATCCTTTCAAGCACCAGGCCGTTCGTAGAAGATCTAGATCTGCCCCCGGTACTCTCTTGCGGCTGCCATCAACCACTCGCTGGTGGACATCAAACACTCCCGAAGACAAGCCGCTCACTGACAACGCAGCCGAACTTGTAGCCTACCAAATTGTACAAAAACATATCCAGAATGCTATTCACAAGTCTCCCTATTCCAAATAACCAAAAGCCTCATTTATACACATTCACTCACTCACTCACTCACTCACTCAGTCGGTCACAAACACAAACACACACACACACACACACAGGCAGGCAAAACAGGCAGGCAGGCAGGCAGGCAGGCAGACAGATACACACACACATATATTTATTTATCTCACCCCATTTACATACATTTTTTTTTCTTCTTTATATTTATTGTGAAATATATATATAAAAAGAAAAAGAGTTCTCAAAAGTGTTTCATTTCTACATAAATATAAATGAATTTATTTTATTTTATTTTATTTTTCAATTTCAATTTCAATTTCATTTCTCTCTTTCAACAAGCATAGACTTCAACTGCTTCTGCCATCAATTGATCCAATGCTTCTTCTAATTGTTCGAGCCTTTCTTGATGCTCTTTGTAGACCTCTAGAATTTCGGTACGCAGTGGTGCTGATGTACCTCTCGATGATCTCTTTTGAGTTTCATCTTCATATCGTACTGCCCCTCGAATCATCATCATCATATCTTCCATTCCAAAATCATCACAGAATATCATGGAATCGATATCTTTACGAATCGCTCTTTGATCTGGTTTTGGCTGTTGTGGTTGAGATTGTTGAATTTGAGATTGTTGAGTTTGCTGAGTTTGAGTTTGTTGAGTTTGAGATTGCTGTGTTGGAGGTTCAATGGCAGGTGCGGGCGTAGGTTGTCTTACCAGTGGATGAAGATCAGCCAAAAGACTGTCGACGGGACTAGAAGTCAGGGCACGATTAGGCATGGGGGTTACAAGTGTAGTAGGAGTGTCGTCTCGGTTCGGCATGGGAGTGTCCTGACGAATAGGTCGAGGAGGGCGAGCTAATGTCACAATAATAAATAAATAAATGTTAACGGATTTGTGTTCAAAAAAAAATAAAAATAAAAAGAGATTAGAGAAAAAGAATCAAGGGGGTGAACCAAATAACAACAACAACAACAACAACAACAACAACAACAACAATGGTAATGATAATTAGGATGTATGATCATCTTACCTGGCTTGGTCTCTGCTGGTGCCACTGACCCGGCACGACGGAGAAGGAAGAAGACTTCATCTTGTTGTGGTGCATAGATGGTGGAAGACATTGAACTAATCGAAGATCTGTCTGGATTGCTGCTGCTGCTACGTCGAGTGGATAATGGTGGAAGACGGTCCCCAAACACGGCCTGAATGGAATCCTCAGGAGAAAGGAGTTGCTCTGGAATTATAGAATATTTTAGGTACATAAACACAGTGTAAAACAAAGAATTTAGTTTTTGTTTAATTAGTAAAGCACAAAATAATAGTAATTATTATTATTATTATTAAAATTAAATGCACGTACGTACACACACATGTATATATATATATAAGACTAATGTGTATTTAACTCTTTACCTTGACCATTCTGACACATGGCAAGACGGTAGAGGACAGCTGGACCTTCCCCCTGCAGACGCAGGGAGTTCACAGCCTCATCCATGTCCTGACTGGAGACCACTCCGTTCAATATGTAGAACTTTTCAAGCAAAAGAGTCGTAACCTCAGAAACGAGCATCCATGGCCCGACGCTCACCAGTTTGTCCAGACGATTCTGGTCTGGTTTAAAAAAGATGTTTGTCTGGGAAGTCTCAGAAGACAACAGGCAAACCTTGATCTTCACCAATCCACCACCACCATTAATACTAGTGCTCTTCTCCTCGCGGCGTAGTTTGGCGTTGAGATAGAAACGGACAGGTTCGGGATCTGCAGCACCGTCCTTTGGCCGGCCCATGTGGGGCATACTGTCGGTTGTAGACATCAACTGCGAGATCCGGCGAGCCTTTTTAAGTGATGGCATCGGTGTGCTCAAATGAGCAGTCAGGGTGTGATAGATGGCCAGGGGTTTGTCGGACGGCAAAAGTGTGTAGACATCGCCATCAATACCCTTAACAGTCAAGAAGTACTCCACGCCCTCTTGCTCGGGCATCTCTCCATGTGTTACAAAGTCCTGCACGGCCTGTTCGACAAGCTCAGAAGCCATTGTGGTTGCAGTTGCGCGCAGGATTAGCGAATCCATTTCGGAAGGAATTGTGCCTGCATAAATAGTCAGGGCAGTCTGGACAGTCTGGTGCTGCAGCTGCGCATCTTCGCTGTCACGTCTTGTAGAATCCATGCTCATCGGGCGTTCACGGTCAGAATAGGCAATACTGGTCGGGCGTTCTCTTTCAGAGTAGCCGCCTGTTGATTGGGAATTCAGGGACGCATTGTCAAGCACACTGTCGGACGACTGACGGTTCTTCTTATTCTTATCTTTGTCTTTTTCTTTGTCTTTGTCTTTATCCTTTCCACGCGAAAAGAACTTGCGGAGACTGTTGCGCTCCTTTCTTTCTCTAGGTTTGCCAATCGACGATGACTCCGTGTCCGCATCTAAATCGATATCTGCTGCAATGCTGCTCATAAGCTGGTCAATTGTGTTACGTCTGGGTTTATCACCACCAGCATCTACAGGTGATGTTTCTTCGGTTGTACCGCGAGCAATGTTTGGTGTGAGTGAAATCCGGATTGTATCTGCTTCGGAAGCTATTGTGTCATCAAAAGTCAGAGGAGCGCGAACACTGGCCTGTGGGGACTCAACTGGGCGGATATCGATTATCGATCCTTCACTCATGCGACGATCAGACACAAGTGATGGTGCGATTGTAGCCAAGGATGATGGATCGTCTGGGAAATGGTCCAAGGTAAGAGATCCCTCTTGGTAGTCTTCGATGCCATACATCTGGCGTTCTTCCATATATTCATAGTCGTCGTCGTCGTCGTCATCAGAACTTTCTTCGCTAGAGCTTTCGGATGATACCATGGTCTCATGCCATTCTTCGAATTCTTCTTCAAAGTCTTCGTCGTCACTTAAACCAATGATTACCTGTGCCTGAAATTTTACGCCTTTGGACAGCGTTACTTTTTTGGTACTAGTAGGTTTACTTGAAGGAGGAGCAGGAAATGCATCTTGAATATCTCGGCGAGTCAACTTTGATATATATATCCAAATCAGTCAATATTATTTTATTCTTCTACCTTTTTATTATTTCTATCTTTAATTTATCGCTCTTTTGTACCTCAATGTTACGGTGGGAGTTTAATCGGGCTAATCTTTCATAAGGTGTCTAGCATTGTATAATTATCATTAGCACAAACACACACACATACATACACACATATATATATATGCATATATTTATATAGAAAGAGAGGATATATTGTACATTGACTCACTTCAATATGCTCTGCTGGAATATAACCAATCTCGGCTGTCTTGAGCACCTTTATAAGCCACCAGTATGAGTTCGTATCATCCAACAAAGTCAGGGCATCTCCTTTGACGACGGATGCCTGACCTTCGACAGTAGCAGCAAAGGTATGTAGAGTGTAGACGAGGTCAAAGTCGATGTTTGGGTCGGGAATGCTCAAGATTGATTCAACATCTTCCTCATCTTCTACATCGTCAATGTGGTCGTCAATGTGGTCATCTTCTTCGGCATCTTCAATACCATATGCATCTTCCTCATCATCGTCATCGTCATCGTCATCGTCGTGGTTACTGTGTTTCTGTTTGGATTTTTGGGTATTTGTGTGGTTGTTGTTGTTGTTGTTGTGGATGTGTCCGTGGAGGGGTTCATTATCGTCATCCATTGCATCGTCGTATAATGAATGACTGTCTACTGAGCCATATGTGGTCTCATCACCATTATAGCCTGTTAGGCGTCTGCCGTCTCTTGTTGTAGAGGGCATCACTGTTCATATATTATATGCAAAAAAAAGGAAGGAAGGGAAAGGGTAAAGGATGATGGGGGAAATGAAAGTATAGAATGAAAGTGTAAAATTGAAACCAAAAAAAAAGAAAAAAAAAAGTGATATTGATTGTCGGAGAACCCACCCAGCCATATTAATATATAAAGCATGCGAGATTTTCGATTTACTCTCAAGCCTTTTAATTGGTTAAAAACAAATACAAAGTTAGTTTTCAAAATATCAATTAAAAGCAATTTCTTGAAATTTCATAGCTACATTAGGTAGTTTTGAAACTAAAGTATCCATAAATGGACTTTCTCAGTGTTTTATTAAGAAAGAAAGAAAAAAACACAGAAATAAAACAGAAAAAACAAAAATGATGAGTAAATTATGAGATTTATCAGTGTAACATTGTTTGACTCCCAGCCGGGGAGTAAACTACTTCCATTTTGGGAAGAATAGAAATTTGAGCTCCCGGTCAGAGGAATCGCAAAATTGAAAAATGGAATCGCAAAAAAAAAAAACAAAAAAAAATGGGATGGTAAAATTTGAATTTTATTTATTTATTTATTTATTTATTTATTTTTGTGGATTGAAAAATATTGAAGGTAGATAATTTTAGGCTTCCCACACTAACCCTGCAGTAGCTGGCTACTTTAGGGTTGACAGACTTGAGCTAGTGTCTAGAAATATTTAATAGCTACTTTGAAAATGTGACCACAATTTGGCTATTTGGTTTTGAGCAGTAGTATCTGATGATTCCAACAACTGATAACAGCACACGTACCTACAAATGAAACTTATTTTGAAAAGGAAAGAAAAAGTTATTGGATGAAATTGATAGTTTGTTTATTGATGTGTTACAGGGCCTGTGTGGCGTTGTAAAGCAACTTTTGGAGAAGAGCACCTTGGATCATTTGGATCTCTCTATTTTGAACCAAGTTTATCGTAAATGTAGCTGTGCCAAAATTGTTCTTTATCTTTGTCAGCTATTATCAATTTGATTAATCCATCACACCAAGACCGGTTGAAGTCATTTATGGATATTAACGATAAGAAGAAGAGAAAATCATAATTTGTTCTCTCTTTTTTTTTTATTAAATAATATTCCTAGGTACAAAAGGCAAAAATATCAATAAAAAATATTTAACTGTGTATGTAGATTAAAAGATTTGTGGACTCAATACGTGAAATGATATCATCTAGTTTGAAACAAGACAATTATCAAAACCTCTTTTTTTTTTGTTTGTTTTTCTGTGAATAATACTATGAACCCCCCTCTTTTTCCTCTTTAGACTCCAAACTTCCCCCATTTCCCCCCTCCCTCTCTCTCTTTGTATATCCAAAGGAGGCATGGTTTATAAAGTAAGGATATATATATATATATATGTATTGACTCTTAAGAAAGAGAGAAAGATAGGGCAGAAATTCAAATAAAATAAAATAAAATAAATCGGCTCAGGACCGCTTGCTCATTCTTGTACGAGCCGAGTTGTACGACATTCAATTGAGTTTGACACTTAATTGTCATTTATTTATTTAGCTTTTAAAATTTATATTTATTATTTTGAGTTGAAGCCAATTCATTTAATAGCACCCAGAAAATATTGATGATGTAAAAAAATTCAAATATATATATAAAAGCAAGTCTCTCCAGTCTTTTCACCCCCTTTTTATTTATTTATCTATTTCCTTTCCCTTTTGACTTTGGCTTTACCTTTCCATATTCCTCCCTCTTCTCCTTTTGGAGACATTTTTCTCCTTGATCCTTATAATTATTATGATACAGTGCACACATCATTAATGGTCTTGGCTTTATCCATATCCATACTCGTATCCGTACCCGCATTAAAGTATTTGTTCTACTCTTAATACGAAGCAAGAAGCATTTAGAGCCAACCTAAATATCAAAAAGAAAAGAAAAAGTAAATAATCATAATCTTAGTTAAAAAAAAAAGGATCAAAGGGAGAATAATAGGTTTTCCTGAATTTCATTAAGATCAATCGTTTTCCTCTCTGTCTTGTCTCCTTTGAGGTTAACCAAGTGGTCTAGAGCCTTCTCCTTTCTTTGCTTTTCTTTTACCCCTCTTATATATATATATATATCATTTGTATAAATATCAATAGATTTGCCTTTATTTCTTAGGTATCATAAATATATACATATGTATAAAATGTATAATTAATGCTATCAAAATAGTCGTTTTGAATAAATCGCTCATATCTTTTATAGACTACCAAACAAAAACAAAGAAGAAAAAAACAAAGCTCTACTACGACCATTTGAAGACCAATAATTTTTTTATCTTATCTTATTTTATCTCTCTCAGCTAAGAATAATAATACTATTAATACAAAGATATACACAAAAAATAATACATATACATAATTATGTATGTATAATTCGTTACCATGGTTTCTCTATTTCTTCTCTACCTTTTTTCTTCCATTCTTTCGATCTAATTGAGCATTATACTGCCCATCTGGGAGTCAATCGGTTAATATAATACAATTTTTTTATGGTTACGCACCTGTTTTGGTCCTCTCTATCTCTTTCTTTCTTTCTTTCTTTCTTTCTTTCTTTCTTTCTCCCTCCCTCCCTCCCTCTCTCTCTCTCTTTCGCTTTTTTTTTTGTTTTTTGTTTTGCTTCTTTGCTTGCCTTTAGATTCGTGCTTGGAGACATCTTACTTCAAATTCCCGTTCTTTCTATAGAGCGAACCCAAGATGAGCAGGAAACACGCCCTTGGCCGGTACTACATACCATTCATCTTTTTAATCATCCACGTCTCAGGGCAACCATTTACCACACCAACGATCAATCTCGATGCAGTTGGCCAATTGGGATTCACAGGCAACTACAATGGCCTGTCTCCCTTTATTGACACCCAGCAATTCGAAACCGGAGCAGACCTGAGAATGTCATCCCTCGTCTTGTCAAAAAACAATACATTCACACGTATTGCATCCGCCAATGGAGACATTCTCACGACCTGTACATTGAAGCGTGCGGATAACCAGATGGACATTTACATTGGTGGCAACTTTACCACCATTACTTATAATAATGACAACCAAAGTAATAGTAATAGCAATAGTAACAGTAACAGTAACAGTAATGACAACACCGCTCTACGTTATATTGCCCGGTTTGATTCTCAGACACAAACACTCACCGGTCTTGATGGAGGCCTGGATGGCCCAGTTCAGGCACTCTATTGTGACCAGGAGGCAAATAGTGTGTATGTTGGAGGCGATTTTGGCTCACCTGTCCAAACACCCGCAAGTAATAATGGATCGACTGTGTTTGGCAAGATTGCACTCTGGCAGAATAATGCCTGGACTGCCCTGCCCTGGAGTGGATTCAACGGTCCTGTCTACACCATCACTCCGAACAAAAAGAAAAACACCATCTTATTCGGTGGTTTATTTGATGCCACAGGGGATGGGCAGTACTATAATACTAACAGCAGCCAAATTGTCAACCTTGGAGGTTCTACTGTAAGTCTTTTATTTTATTTTATTTTATTTTATTGTATCTATATGCAGATTTAGATGTAGATAAAGATGTGTATGTACTTGTATATGTGCACCTGTACATATACATATATATATACATATACATTACACAGCCACATATAGATGTACATGTAGCTGTAGATGTATATGTACATACTCATGTGTATAATCCAATAATATATTTATTTATTTATTACCAGACTTTGGGATCTGGTAATGGTGCCTTGACAGCTGGTCTTGGTAACCCTGCCAATATCGTTTGTTCCAACAATACCTTACCTTTGCCTGACACCCCATGGCTACTTCAAGAGGGTGTTCCTGGATATTGGGAAGCCACCTTTGCGTATTCGATCCAACCCTCGCTTTTCCGCATCAGCAATACTCATTATGACGGAAGAGGAACAAATTCATTTAGGTAACATAACCAAATTGACTTGGTGTTCACAAAATGATAATAATAATAATTAACTGTATAAATTTCTTTATTAGTATTATTGCTTTAGGATCGAATGAATACTTTGAACTATCCTATCTGGATCCTGTCACTCAACAAAACGTAATTTGCTCTAAAGAATGCCATCTTTCCAACGACACTAGTATTGCCTTTCAAGACTTTACAGTAGTCAGTCCTTACATCACAACTGGTGTCAGAATCAATATTGATTCTTGGTTTGGCTCTGGCGGTGGTCTGGCTAGTGTACAGATCTTTCAATCAGGTAAACCAATAAATATATATATATAATTTGATTTTCCCAAAGTATTATATTTTAGCATAACTTAACTAACGATTATGTATATAAATAAATAAATAAATAAATAAATAAATGAATGAATAAATGAATGCTTGAGTTGCTCCTTTTGTTATAATATCCTTAACTATAATATGATTCATCAAATAGATATTGCACTCCATGCCCATCTTGGAGACACTAATGATGGCCAGTGCACATCTTCAATTACTCCCTCTACAACAATTGTTGGCAATTGGGTAGAGAAATATGTGTTTGGAACATATCAAAACTTCCTGACCTCCACATTTTCTGCGTCTGATCTTGCTACCACTGATGCCTCGATTCTCTACACACCGTAAGCCAAAAATAAGAGTAGTAATAATAGTGACATATTTTTCTTTTTCTTTTTCTTTTAGATATATAAAAAATAATAATTATAATTATATATTGACAATGAGTTATATGCTCATAATTCTAGCTTTATTTGATTTGCCTGTTTGTGCGCATATGTGCATATTTGTTTGTTTGTTTGTTTGTTTGCTTTTATTAATCTTAACTAATCTTTTTATATATTTTTTTTTGTTTTATTTTATTAGTTACATTCCGGTTCAAGGTCAATACACTATTTATGCCACAACCCCGGGCTGTGTTGGAAGTTCGACCTGTAATGATCGGACTCAAATTGAGCTCACTGTCACACCATCACCGGGTAATAGTACGATATTCTTTGTAGATCAGGCAGTAACAGAAGACACACGTACCTTGATCTACAGTGGCTTTTTGTCCGCAACAACCACAAGCTTTCAACCGACCGTGCTGCTAAATCTGGCCGCAAATGCTACGGCTCCTAGCAGTGGCACGGTTAGCTTGGTAGCAACGTCTCTTGAATTCATAAAAAACGGAACTGGTGTCACCCTAGTCAGTGTGTTGGAATATAGCCCACAAAACTACACACAGAACATTGTACCCTCCTGGAGACCATTGACTGGTTAGTAATAAAAAAAATTATAATTATTATGTATATAAATTAACATACAAGGAGAAACTCTTTTTTTCAAAAAAAAATTATAGAGCAATTATTACATGGTTCTACTGTACGTACGATTGATGCTTCACAAGGAGATGTTCTATACATCGGTGGTCAGTTTGTTGGTATAAATGATATCTATCGCAATATTGTTGCCTATGATTATCTTTCTTCAGGAGGTCAACTTAGACCTCTTAATGAAATTGGCCTGACTGGGAATGTAACCTGCTTACAGTTAGTTGATTCAAGTAAGTTGGCTATTTTTTTTTAATTATTTATTTATTTATCTGTTTAAATGTGTAGATTTGTATGTTGGTGGTTCATTCAACTCTACTGTTACTGGAACAAAGCCTCTCGGAAATGTAGCTCGACTTGACATTGCTGGTAACCAATGGGTTCCTCTTGAAATGGTAAGTATAATATTTAAGATTTATTATCGTTAGTATTATTGCTTTATTTCTTTTCTTCTTCTTCTTCTTCTTCTTCTTCTACTACTGCTCTTAAAATAATAATAGCCATCATAATAATAACAGAAAAAAATATTTGTTTTGGTGGGTGGGGGTGGTTAATTTTTAGGGTCTAGATGGTCCTGTTGAGTCAATGTTTTTATCAGACTCTACAATCACTTTTTCTGGAAGCATAACCCGTATCGTAAATACAAACTCGACCACACCAACGTCAGTAGGCAACGCTGTTTGGGATATAACTAACAACAAATGGATCGATCGATCGTCCCAAATTGTCGGAACCGTACGTTTGATCACATCCTTGAGTACAGACACCACTGTCAACAATAAGATCTGGATAGGTGGCATTCGCAGTGCCCAAACCTACCTTGCCAGCGGTCTTGCGTCTCTCAACCTGGACAGTATCTGGTCGCCACATGTATTCGGAAACGATCCCGACGCAGTTATCAACACTGGCCTGTTTTGGCACAACACTACCGAACCCGGAACCAACATCACGGTTTTGATTATTGGCGGACGGTTCAAGATCTCAGACAAGATCTCGAATCTGGCGATGTACAAAGATAGCGAATGGACCGGAATCGGCGAACTCGATGGCGAAGTCCGTGCCCTGACGCTTCTGAACGATAAACTCTTGATCGGCGGTGAATTCGGTGGCAGGTTTTATGACAGCCAGCCCAAGAGTTTTGCGATCTATGATCTGATTGGCCAGAAGAATGTGGACACAATAGGTGTCTATGGCTCGGGGGGTCATATAGGACGTATAAATGTAATACAAGTTAGTGGAAACAGTCATATAGTGAATGTGGGAGGAAACTTTAGCTTGGCTGGCTCATTGGAGTGCCCGTCTGTCTGCTCCTTGAACACCAATACATTGCAGTGGGATAAAGTTGCTCAAAACTTACAAGGCCAAGTATATGACATGACAACTTTCGCTGGTCGGTTGATAGCAGTCGGAGACCTACAGGTCAATAATCAACGTACCTATATTGCCGAGATAAAAGATCAGTCGAGCATCTGGACCGTACCTACAGAGATCCAATCTGCCGAACTAGGCATTCCAACTACATTACTCAGCATGCCAAAAAAGGTATTGATTGCTGGAAGGTAAAAAAAATATAGATATTTTTTTTTTGGACCACTAACAATAGAACTACTGAATTCTGTTTCTTTGCCGTGTTATCTAAATATACTATGTGTTATTAATGCTGTGACTATTAGTAATGCTACTTCTGGATATTTGGGTACTTGGGATGGTACAAAGTATACTGATCTTGGTAAGGATCCCCTCCATTATATCTACATGTTATAGTTTCAATTCGCAAATGATTATTAACTATTGTTATACCTTTTCTTTTTTTTTTCGTTCTTTATTGGCATATAAATACACACAAAAGGATCAAATCTTGGGCCTTCAAGTGATATCAGACAACTTCTTTATATTCCCATCACATCTTCACCAAATGATGATCGATTCCCAGCTGATTCGGAGGATATGCTTATGGTGGTTGGTAAATTGGATATCGCACCCTTTGGAAATGTTAGTGCAGCGTTGTATGATGGATCCAACTGGTACCCGTATGTCCTGACTTCCCAAAGAGACGGTACACCTGGAACTATTCAGCATTTATTCCATGAATCCCCATGTTGCACAGTGAGCAATATTAAACGTACGTATCTATCTATCTATATACTTTTTTTTAATTTTTTTTTCTTTTTCTTATTAATCAATTAATTAATTAATTATATAAATATAAATATAATTAGGACATTTGCCAGTACCTGCAGTAATCTTGATTTCTATTGCTGTTTCACTTGGGATAATCTTTGCCTTGGTCCTATGCGCTCTTTGTTTTGTATTTATCCGCAGACGCAACTCTGCTCGCCATGATCCCGAACCAATGCCACCATGGGCATCTGGACGTCGCGCATCAACACTTATTGCAATGTTGGATGCTGCACAGCTGGGTGTTCTAGGTGCAAGTGCAGGTGCAGGTGCAGGTGCAGGTGTCGGTGCATATTCTGGAGATACTTTGACAAACAAAGAAAAGAATGGATTTGTCAACCAGAACCAAAACTCAGCTGAGATGCGTGAAAATTTGGTTGGATCACCATTTATAAATAATGACCATACTAATGGAACTGGAACTGGAACTGGAGCTGGAGCTGGAGCTGGGGTGGTTACATTTGCAGCAATGCTCTCGGCAGCTGTAGCCAAACGGGCAGAAAGTGGGCCAGATGCACCTGTTAGTGAAGACTGCCCATCTTTGTTCTATGCAAAGTATCCGTTTGATGCCAAAGAGTATGGAGAACTTGGATTTGGTGCAAATGAAACGATTATTGTTACAGATATGAGCGACAATGTTTGGTGGATGGGCTATAAAGATGATGGTAAGTAGATTGAATGGTTTTACTGATAAATATACAGATACAGATATTACTTCTATGTGCTATGTATAAAGTATAATAATAATTCTGTAATCTATAGGCTCTGGAAAACCTGCTTCGGGTTTGTTCCCTAGTAATTATGTATCAAGCACAAAGGCTAGTTAAAAAAAAAGGAAAAAGTAAAAGAAGCATATCTTGATTCTTGATTCTCGATTCTTTTGCTTTTACTTTTGCTTTACAATACCTATATCTTATCCCCCATTTTATTGGCATATATATCTTACATACATCTATATACACACACACACACACACACAAACGCCTACATTTTATACACCTACCTACACACTCGTGCATACCTTGATGAGAGTACCTTTATTTATTTATTTATTCATTCACAACAAGATATAGGAATCAAACTCTCTATATCCACCCTCTTTATTGTCACTTTATTTTTATTTATTTTTTTATTTTATTCAATAGAATCTAATATTCTACTCTTTACCTTTGAAGATTATTATTATTATTATTATTATTATTATTATTATTATTATTATTATTATTATTATTATTATTACTATTACTATTACTATTACTATTATTTGCATTACGATACCATGCAGCATACCATATTAAATATTGTCCTTACAAATACTGTCACTTTAATGAACAAGTATACAAAAAAGAAAAACAAAGACTGACATTATCTATACACTCCATGTATTATATACTTAATTTTTAAAGTTATAGTTGATACAAATGTCTTTAATAATAATAATAATAAGACTACATTTTAGCCTGTGGTTGTATCAGGACTTTGAGTTTCGTTCTTGACAGCACAGCACAATAGACAGGCAAGTATACTACGGATCAATAGTATCAATACAGCACAACGCATAAAATAAAATAAAAAATAATGAATGTTTTACCATCCGAAACAGCATGGATCCTTTGCTTTTGATGTTGTGGTAGGCTGTACTGCCACAGTAGAAGGTGGTGGTGTAGGCAAATAAGAGAATTCTAAACAATATACATATATTACATTATTATTATTATTATTATTGTTGTTGTTATATTGATCAACTTGTTATCTTTTGTTCCTTTACCAAGACTCGATTCTTTTGGTGTTTTGGGAATTGGCTGTGGTGTATAATACCGATCAGGAACCTTGGTTGTCTTGGTGGCTATTGTATATGGCTTTAGAGTATCACTCATCTTAAACCCTAAAATAAAGTAAAATAAAATAAATAAATTGGAAGAAAGGGAAGATAATATTGAAAATATCTATATATATTATTATTATTATTTGTTCTTTCCTTTTTTGTGGTATATGAATTGGAGTCAATTTTTAGCAAAGACAACAACAAAAAAAAAAGAAGTTTGTTTTTAGCGTGATATTATTGTATACGTTGTGTTACCATAGTGGTACTAATTACCAGCTGTCCACAAAGAAAAAAAATAAGAATATACATATATGTTATTTTACAAGAAGTATACAGGTTTGATGAGCCCACAATTGCTTTGGGTACAATAGACCTGAACCGGAATATATAGTCTTTACATTTGATAAATTCAAATTCTCTTCAACAAAACAATTATACCTTGTAAATTATAACAAAACATTAACCTCTTGTTGTCAAACTATACACAGAAAGGTATGAGCTCTATTTCTCTCCGTTGAAAGAAAATATAAAAGATTACATGTTGATGTTTTGTTCATAAGAATATCTATTTCAATATGAAGAATGTTTTAAGCACACATAATTCGAGCATAGATACAAATAGAGCTCGGATCTAATCTGCATATATATTTTCAGATAAAGGTAGAGGGAGTGTCAAAGCATGCTTTGTTAAAAGTACTCTTATATACACTAAAAATATATATATATAGTTGGCAGCCAAGTACTATCATAATTTGATTGGCTGATTTTTTTTTTTTTCGTTAAGGATTCAAGACCAAAAATTATTGTAAAAGTGAAAATAACAAGTTGTGTATGATCTTTTTTTTTATTAGTGAGCTTACTCCTTGAAATTGCTTCTGTACTTAAGAGTCTGTGCTCTTTGTTGATACAGCTAATATTATATATATATTATTGTATCCAAGTCAGGTTTATGTACCATACCCTATAGAAAAAAAAAATAGGCGATTTTAGTGAATTGTTGCAAGTTTTCCGGGGTTTAAAGTGTCTTGTAGTTGAGTTTTAATTCAGCGCCAATTTCTACTCCGCCGTTTTTTTGCAGTCAAAGCAAAACATCTTTTCTTAGCTTTTTCAACCCATTGCAAAACTAAATAATAAATTATTCAAATCTAATGGCTTACCAGCGGTAACTTGGGTGGGTCCTAAGCAGTAACCAGAACATAATTGTTTTATCTTTTTTTGAAGTCTAGTCAGTCTTTGTCTCAAACGACGACCCTCCTGGAAATCTTCTTCTGCTTGTCTTCTGATACATCCAATCCGAATGACGCGGGTGAACCTTAAAGGTATAGTCCCATAATATCTTAGATTGTTAAGTATATGTCGGAAGTTCAGGACAGCAGCAAGATGTCTATTCCACAAATTATGCTCAAGCTGTAACGAAGACATGTCCTCGAAGCAATTTTGATTTTGTAAATCTGTAGGGTTTATAAAAAGTATTAATAATAATAGAAAAAAAACGATGACTAGTTGTCATATTCATCTTAAAAGACTATGACAGGTTAAAGTTGGCCATTTAGTGGGGCTATATTAGCGCGAGTTTTCGACTTGCTCGAAGGTTCGAAGGGAAATCTGGGAGAACGAAAAATAGTGCTTGGAAGTACTAAATGTATCAAACAAACAAAGATCAAATTCATGCTTACAAAGTAGATATCTAAATACTACACCACTGGTTGTCTCATGACTATGTTTGTGAGATACAGGCCAGTCTTTTACCATTAATGCAGAAGGTTAACCAAATTCAGAACTGATATTGCTTTCTAGACATTATTTAGCTTTGGATTGGTTAATATAGAAGGAACGACGAAACTTGCGAAATAAATCTTTGGTTGGTTTGAATTTTGGTATTTGCGTAAAATAAGCAGAGGATAGAGATAATTACAATAATATAGGCAAAGAACAAAGATATGTAGAGTTTAAAATTCTTGCCTGTCAATCGTGCTGTCTTTTATAGACTTTTATATATGTGACTTTGACACATGAGAATATAGTACATAATTTACTAGATAAATATAATGATTGATTGATATAAAGGAGAGCTGCCTAAAGATATTAATCATTTCGGTGGCACCTTGCAAATACATCAAAATAAATTTTAGTTCCTTGTATCTGTATTGGCGTTTTATATTCGTTGTTCTGAATTTTGTGTGCCTGTCACTAAAAACTTACTGAGAATATGTGTGGGTGTGTATAATTTATCTTGAAGAATAGTGCGTAAGCATTGTATTGCTTGCAAACCTTCTCAAAGCCTTTTATCATAGGAATTGAATAATAATAATAAGATGTGCAAAGGTAATAATATTAATACGATTGATTTGAAGGACTTTTAACTTTGATACTTCTTGCAGTTAGGCTTAGGGTGATATTAAATTATTATTATTATTATTATTATTATTATGGTTTTTAATCCAAAAAAAAAACATCTTACATGAATATTGTATGCTAGACTGTTTACAGGTTGCAAAGTTGGATAAAGAGACAAACATGGCCTACAAAGCTATGTATTTTTAATCTGAACTTAAAGAAGCCTTTGCCATCAAAAAGTAATGACTGGGATTACTTTTTAATGCATTGTTGCTTTTTTTTTATTTCTCTTTTTTCACAAGGTCTAAAATTATTAAATGTCTTTAAAAGAAACATACTTAATAACTATCAAGGCTAGTATTAATAAAATACGAATCAGCAAAGTTGATAAAAGAAAGCAATCTGAGAAGAATTGACAGAAAAACATCTACATCATGTATAGTTTGGCTGTCAAGATTGCTCGTATGTTCATTAGAGATCTCGGTACATTTAAAGAATCACAGGGAATCTGTCTTCTGGTTTTTCAAAAGTAGGAATCAGACATAAAAATGTTAACACAAAGCAGGTTTATATTTTATTTGATAAAAAGAATCAATTATGCAATATACATGCCTTCATCAATATTATAGTATTTAGATAAAAAAAAATGTAAAAAGTATCATATAAAAGTATATATATATATGTATATTATTTAATAAATATATAGCTTAAGCTGTTACTAAATATCATAAAAATTAGTACTTCTTCTTTGTATACTTCTTTATGTTTAAGTTGTATTATTTTGATCAATAGAAACCATAAAATTCCAATATAAAACATGATGCATTTGTTGAACCAATTATAAAGAGAATACAAATACCTAAAAAATAAAAAATAAAAAATAAAAAATATAAAAAAAAGGTATAATTGGCATATTTAGAATATTTGATTGGATTAGATGCAAAATAATATAAAATCCCATAAATCGTATTTGACAAAAAGTAAAGCTAATAGGTTAAAACAGGCATGCTATTGGCTATAAAAGTTGCGAGTTCGTAATTCGTTACGAGGTCGGTATTTTAAAGACTGACTTTTAAATCGCATGAGTTACGAACTTGTAACTCGTTACGTTGGAGGTATAAATTCTGCCATTTCCTACAGTGTTATCTATTTTCACCCATTTTGGTTTTTATGCCTTGATGGTGGCATAGGCTGAAGGGCATATATTTCAAGAGATGAAAAAGGTTAGCTGTAGAATGCGATTGAGAGTTAAGCAGAGTATTGATAAACTACCTATTTGCGATAAGCACAAAGGGCTGATTTGTGGACTGTTTAGGATGACAATAAATTCAAGTACTGTCTGCCACGAGCCTGATTAAATGCCATTGTTTTTTTTCTTTGTTTTGGCTTCTTGGCGTTGTTGGTGTGGGTAGTGTCAGGGTTGGTGCTATTTAAATGGCAATATGATATCAATTCATTAATAATAGCAGCAAAAAAAGATGGACTCTTCTTTGCATAAAATACTCTTTTCTGTGTGTGTATGTGCCTGTATTGACTGTCGATCTATTTGTTGATAGAATCTTTAGATAGCTATGTATATATATATATATGAGACTTTGATCAATCGAGGTTGATTAAAAAAAAGGGTATCTGTTTTGTAAAGTTGAATGCAAAGTAATAAACAGAAATGAATATATGCAAGTACTATTCATTATTTATGTTTTGTTTTGTTTTGTTTTGCAATGATAGCTTTCAAGTCATAATGAATGGAACAATTGTCTATAATCTACAGGATTGTTAATTGGTTTCAAATAAATAATAGTCGTCTATTCATCAGGTTGAATTTGACTATGAATTCTATGCTAAAATATAGATATAGATATATATGAAAGAAAAAAAAAAGGAGGGGGGGGTCAGAATTACAGAGGCAAATAAGATTCCTTATGTTTTGAATAATGGCGATATCATCTTTTGTGTATACAGATGGAAATCAAAGCCATGAAGAATTATATATATATATGGATTTATATAGAATTCAAAATATATATATACAAAATACAAATTGTGGTGTAAAATCCAATTGATTGAATTTATATTCTTTCCACCCCTTAAAAAAATTATTATTATTATTATAAAGCTCCCTTATCTTTCGGGTATAATCGAAGCTATACATTCTGAACTCCTTGAATTTTTTCTTCTTCTTCTTCTTTTCTTTCTCGGAACAACGCCAGGTGAGCTTAAATCAAAGCTACTGGAAATCCTTGTTCAATTGGGATTCTTTAATTCTAAAGGATTCTATGGATTAAACTTTGGCTCACCCAAAAAATCAAGCCAAGTCAGTGACCAAGTATGTGGGTGTGATAGATAGATAGAGGTGTGGAGAGACCCATGAGGGTTTATAATGACTGATTCGGCAGCTGACTATCCAACCAGTAGGTCTTGTTAGTTGACAGCTGATGTCCTTTAATCTTAGTATATCAAGGTCTTACAAACTTACACATTTATATATATATAAATCTTTTATACATTGTGAGAGTTTTAATTGGCTAAAAAATCTCCAAAAAAGAGAAATAAAATTATCCCACGGGTTGGCCACAAGGGTAAATCCCTTTTTCTTTTCTTTTTCTTTTTGGCTGCGGGCGCCATAGTATAATTGACCAATCCAGGCAAAGATATAAAGAATACCTAAAAATCTATTATATTATTATTATATAGAGGAATAATGACATTATTGTGATGATGTCTATAGAAATATTGATATACTTTCATATATATATATATATATATACATGTGTGTGTGAAGAGACATAAAGAAAGGAGAGAAAAAGAAGTTCTTACATGTTTGTAACTCAAGTAGAAAATTTACCCGCCCTTTTATTTTATTTTATTTTTGGTGGGGTGAAATTTGAGGGGTGAGTTAAAAGACAAAGACAAGGTTGACAAAAAAGAAAGAAAGCTGTTGACATTTGTTTTATGTGTGATTTATATGATGGACTATTTTATCAAACCTTCTTGACTTTGCTTTGACTCCTAATTTGGGTGATGATTGGATAAAGAGGTCTACATAATCATTTGTCTTGATCCAAATTCTGATCACAATACGCACACATACACACAAAAGAAATATATATATATGTATATAGAGTGATAAATTGGCTTTCTTTGATACTGTGATTTATCAATGTGTGAATTGTTTGATAATCGCCAAAATTTATATGTAAAATGATTGATAGCAAAATGACAGAATCATGACAGAATAGAAAGAGAATTACATACAGAAATCACAAGAATTACAACAATTTATGATCATTAATTATAATGTTATCATTAGATTGCATTCTATTAATATACGAAATCGTAATTTCCTTTTCTTTCCTTTTTTTGGGATTCTAAAATTCATTTATAATGTATATTCAAGCTTTTGTCCTTCTTCTTCTCTTTCTATTTTCGTTCTCTACCTCACTTGTACGCCAAACTACAACAAACCAACAAATCCTCTTTTTCCTTCAAATCTTCTAAATTCACATTACAATGACGACACACACTTCCACCATCACCAATACCACAAAGCATAATAGTAATAACAACAACAATAATAATAATAATCCACAACGGCTAAAGCGTATCGAACTTGTCATCACACCGGGCAAAAGCCTAGGACCATTTCGATTAGGTACATTAGCAATTCTATCTATACTCACATGAAACTAGCTTATCAATGACAAAGAAATATATACACATCAGACCTCATCTAATGTTGGCTTTTGTAAAATAATATATATATATATATATATATAAAGGATCTTCATTGTGGGATACAATTCAACTACTGCGAGATCGACCGCAGTTTTTTCCAACTGTCGAACTTAAATACAGTCAAAAGGTAGGGATTTTGGAATTTTTTTTATTTATTTTTTTATTTTTTTTGGTTATCAAATTCTATCAATTTGTGTGTACTTCTTTATAGTGATGGTATAAAATAAATAAATAAAAAAGAAAGTGAATGATTTAAAGACATAAATAATATCTATGTTTATTGTGGGTGTGCGCTTAAAATTAAATGATACAGGACCCACTACGACATGATTTTATTATATCTTTGCCGTCAAATGGTATTCACCTTCGGTACGATGGATCTCTTCAAAGGTTGAAATCAATCGAGTGTTTTGATCCTTCAAAAGTCAAACTTGTCTATCAAAATGGGGATGTCAGGTAAAGAAGAAGAAAGAAAAAGATATGATTGATAGTCGAATCTGAATTTGGGCCAACGAGGTTAATCCCTTTTATGCTATACAAGTTCAAGCAGGACAATCCCTACATTTCTGTTGATCTATAAGTCATTTGGGTAAAGTAATCAATGCATTTCTATTCCATCTCTTTCTCTCTTTATTTCTTTATTTCTTATCTTTATATAGTGTGTGTATCTGAAATGTCAAGTGTGATTTTTCTTTTAAAAAATAAATGATGATTGGTTTATTAATCAGTCTCAAATAGGCCAACTTATCCGGGTGAGTTTGATGCGGCCAAGAGTATTTACACGTTAAAGTATCCGGTAAAGTACCATTAGATTTTGTCAAAAATAAAATAATAATTAATTCATTTTTATGTACATTATCTTTTTAGGGTCTTGCATTTACGTTTCCTATTCCTCTGCGATTCCAAACCCTTTATCAGTCATCGTCGGGTAAAGAAGAAGAAAAAGTATAAGATTGAATCAAATAATCTTACATATATATATGTGTGTGTTTGCACATAGATCTTCCAATGGAATTTCCTGATGGTACAACACCAATCGCATCAAGGGTTTATCTTTACACTGGAAGCACTCATTGGCAGCAGGCTACTGTTCCGTCTCTCTCAAAGGTGATTGCAGAACACAATGCGTCGATTTCTACAAAGTATGGAAAGTTGGGTCGACGAGAATTAGAAACTATTATTGCAAAGGTAAGAAATATAAAAGAAAGAAGTATTTGTTTCTTATAATATTTATAGCCTACCAAAGGAGCAACACTTTATTTTCCTACACAAGTCTCATCCAATGAAACAACCGACTCAGCAAGAGAACCAGTCAAGACTACTTCCAATACAGTTCAAATCACACTCCACCTCTCGACTGCGCAGGACATTCTTGCCGATCTTGGTAAACCTTCGCGGATATTCTACAAAGAGGAAGACAAGATGAAGATACACTCTACTGCAAATGACCTCACGGCTCTTGAAAAGCAAGACACAAAGGGCGATCGGTCAAAGGCAAGTGGAAGTAATAACGGAAGTAGAGCTGTCAGCGCAGAAGAAGAAGACAAAGGTAAAGAGAATATCAAGTGAATTGAATTATGGGCTGTGATCAAATTAGACTCGACTTTTGGTTAGACTGATTGAAACCTATTGCTTCCTACTTACCCCCTTTACTTTTTTTTTTGGTGTAATAAGATCCTTTTACCGTCCATCCAACCGATTATTTTTTCAACTATTTCCATTTGGGAATCGACATTTTGATTGACGGAGGTTTACACGTGTGTAAGAAGATTGTCCTACATGGCAATATTCCAGGCCACTATGATTTTCAAAGGTAAAGAATACTTGGACATAAAAAGGGGATATTAAGACTCTAGTTTCTCAAAATAAAAATGATACTTAATGATACTTTGAACTTCTTTATAAATATGTAGATACAAGAGATGTCCTTTCCAGATAGTATTTTCCAAGAAAGATGGTATGTAATTTTATTTAACAAAACAAAAAGTCTAAACTATATAAAATTACACAGTGAAACAAGCTAATGGAAAGGAGAATTCAAACAATGTTCTGGTTGATGTTGAATCCGATACTGACGATAATGATCCTGTCCCAGTTCATATTGTAACAGCAGAGATGAAGGTAAGAAGAATTGTCAATTTTGTTTTTTTTTTTTTTTTTTTAGTTATATTCATTTGGTCGCCTGGTTAAAAAAAAATAATTGACTTTGACTTTATATACTTTGGTGTGTAAACAGGCAGCCACTATGCAGAAACGAATTCCATGGAAATCAAATGATGTATCTAATGCTAATGAGCAGAAACCAGTGATTCTCACTAGGGGGTCGAGCGAACAGAATCCCTTTGGATCCACTCACTTGACTGGATACGATGAGGGTATAGTTATGGAAGTAACTAAGAACGGATATGTTCCAACCATAGTTCTGTACTGATCAAATCCATACAAATCTTATGAGTCTTGAAACAAAGACAAGAATAACAAAAGAGAGATGTATATATTAGTTATTTATTTTTATATACATGTATCTCTCTATATAGAAAGAGAGAAAGACGTATTTTCAAGCCTTTATATATATATATATATATACAGAATGTCTTTATGTTGGTTATCAGATCAAGAAAGAATAAGGAGAAATCGTACAATTTTCTTTTATTTTTATTTGGTAATCAGATTCTTTATAAAACAAGAGACTTTTTTTTTTTTTCTTTTTTTTCCTGTGACGCAAAATTTGTATTACAGACATATTTTATATAATATATGAGTTTTTGCCCTTTTTTTTTCTTTTTCTTTCTTTCAAAACAAAAATTAAATCATTCAATATTGATCTTCTTTTTATCCTATTGTTTCTTTTTTTTTTGTCTGTTCATTTGTTTACTTCTTTAGCTTCTTTAACTTTTGGCTTATTTATATATATATATAAAAGCCAAAACCGATTTCTACAATTTGACAATCTTTATAACACTTCTTGATCTCATAATACAAACAAACAAACAAGAAAAGTTTACAGCTATATATATATATATACATCTAATGATGAATCAATGGCAAATGACAAATGACAATGACAAATCTTACTTTGATCCGACGAAAATCACAACATCTTTACCTCTTTTGCCATTCTATAACCAAGTTGGCGGACACGCCTCACTCTTTCGCTTCTCCAAACGAGCGATCTGCAAACCAGTGTCGAAAAAAGAACAAGAGATCTACGAGCATTTCGATGCAAACCACCCTCAGTTGTTACCCTTTGTGTCCCACTACTTGGGCGTACTCAATGTCACTTACAGAGCTAACCCTTCGGTTCACTCTTTCTTGCCAGAGGTCATGTTTGACCAGAATGAGAGTCTTTTACGCGACTGGAAATCTTGTAATACACCAAATGAGAACATATCATCACCACCACCACCACCACAAACACAAACACAAGCACAGATACAACCATCTACTCAAAAATCAAATCAGACTAGACCAGCAGCTACAAAATCTTTTCAGGAAAAGGTGCTCAGGGAAGTATTCACACCCGATGCTCTCCTTGAACGTCTCAAGGCAGTCGATGACTGGAATAGATCCAATCTATCCCCAACACCACCACCACCACCACCACCACCTTTGAACCGATCTATATCTTGTTTGAAAGACAACGAGGACATTTTTAGTCATTCAATTGACAATGTCGTACTACATCCACGCCCTCATAAGCCAACCGCGTCTGCTCCCCACTCACCTCGCCTACAAAAGCTCTCTTGCCAGAATGCTCTCACGCCTACTCTCAAACGATCAAAATCTGAAAAAGAAAGCAAAAACAAAAAACAAGAGGAAGAAGGACAAGAGGTTTTTGATCCACAAGGGCTCAAAAAGAATCAATACAATAATGATAATGATAATGATAATGATAATGATAATGATAATGATAATGATCCATATCCTACTCTCATCTCTTGTTCTCCTTCTCCTTCTTCAAATATACCAAGAAATAGTGGTAGAGATACCAAGCCGGGTTCTTCTTATTTTCCAGAACCCTTGTGCTTGCCACTCGGCAGCGACAACGACAACAACAGCGAAAAGAACAATAATAATAATAATAATAATTATAATAATAATAATAATAATAATAGCACCTGGCAGGTTAGACCTACGAACCCTTGGGCTGCTCAAGTCTACCAACGTGATCTACAGAAATTGCATGCTCAATCTGTTCACAAAGATACAGTCAAGCAGTTTATCCTTATTGAGGATCTCACAGATGGTGTAAGACATCCGTGTGTATTGGATCTCAAGATGGGCACTCGCCAGTACGGTGTTTATGCCACACAGTCCAAAAAAGAGAGTCAGACGAGAAAATGTGCACGATCGACAAGTCGTGAGTTGGGTGTTCGTGTGTGTGGAATGCAGGCAAGTTTCTATCATGTCATATATATATATATATCTTTAGTATTTTATACACAAGCCAATAAACAAACAAACAAACAAAGAAAAACAAAAACAAAAAGGGCTTTTAATAAATTCAATACAAAAAAAAAACTGACAAGAAATTCTCTATGGAAATTTTTTGTTTATTTATCGATTTTGGTTTGCAAATATTGGGGGGGCAAGTGTATACAGGTCTATAGAGCAGACCAAAATGACTTTTATTTCCAGGACAAATACTATGGACGTAACCTGAATCCACACACGTTTTGTGATTCGCTTTGTTCTTTCCTGGACAATGGTCAGGGATGTCAGATCCACCATATACCTATACTTGTTCGCAAACTCCATGTGCTCTCGAGAGTGATTCGGTCCCTAGAAGGCTATCGATTCTATGCGTCTTCTCTGCTGATCATCTATGACGGGGACAGCCAGAGCCAGCGCAAGATCGATGTACGGATCATTGATTTTGCTCGATGCTTGACTTCTCTGGACCAACAAACCAATCGCAAGGATTTCAAGTATCCGCCAGCAAATGGTGGGGCTGGTCCTGATGTAGGATATCTGTTGGGTCTACAGACCTTGATTAAATGCTTTAAACACATCTACCGACGCCATGGTGGTGGTGGTGGTGGCGATTCTGGTGATGGTTGTGGTAATGGGTCGGATAGTTATGCTAATGAAAACGCTGAAGAGATCGTTGGTAGTTTAACTAGTCCAGCCGACCAACCCTACCAAAAAACAGACTATTTTTTACAGCATCATGATCTATTGAAGCATTGAATGAGGATTGTCTTTGAATCATTATCATTATCATTAATAAACTTGTAAAATATTTATATTTATAAATTTATATATGTATGTGTGTGTGTGTGTGTATATGTAATATTTTATAAATATTATATAGATATATATATATATAAATAAAACAGAACGCTTATAAAACAGTGGTAGCAACAGGCTCGGTAATGTTCTCGCTGGCAGCATCAAATACATCATTATCATCATCGTCATCTGAAGATCCTTCCATGTCCAACAAGTTTTCCTCGTTCTTTGAAGCCAAGGCCAGTTCGGGGAACAGGTTCTTGTATTCTGCTGGATCAGCCAAACTCTCGGCAATCTTGGTCTTGTTCTTGGATTCCAGGTCTGCCTTCCATAACTTGACAATCTTGGACATTTCCTGAGGGCGGTAAGCACGTGCAAGCACAGCAGCTTCAGGAATACGCTCGGTCTTGATTAATAAATCAATTGCTTCTTCAACAGCTCCCAACTCAAACAAGGCAGTAAAAGCAATATTGTTCTTTCCTTGTTCAACTGAGAAATTATTTTTTTAAAAAAAAAAAAATTAAAGAATTAAAGAATAATAATAATAATAATAATAATAATAATATGTTAATAACAGCAATAGTAAATAAAACTTGAGCTCGTGTTTAATTAAAAACAAAAACTCCCCCTTCTTTTTTTTTCTTTTCTTTCTTTCTCTTACCTGCTTTGGTAGCTACTTCACGGATACCATTACGGTTACCATTGGCAGTGTAAAACAATAACTGGCCACTCAAATCCTTGGCCTTCAGGAGACACTCTTCAGCCAACCCAAACTTCCACGATGCAGTAGCAACATCACCGAGTGTTCTCCATTTGGCTTCGCTGTCAACTTCACGTGCAATCTGGGTAGCCACATCAAGTTTACCCAAGTTCAATGCCAATTCGAATCTCTGCTCCAGATCGGTCGAGACTTCCAACGCAAGGTCCTTTAGTCCCTGGGATTCCAGGAAACGTGCAATGCGGCTACGCTGGTCAGAAGGAATTGAGGCCAACATGCTGGCAGCAACCTCCAGATCACCACGCAGAACAGCAGTCTGGTACTGGACCACTGTCAAGGACAAGACGTAGGAATAAACATTGACATCCTATTATGATTATTATTATTATTATTTAAAATAATAATAATACAAAAACAGTGGCAATATCAATATCAATATCAATATCATTAACAAAATAAACTAAATCATATATATATTGTGTTTTATAATCTATGCAAGATAATGAAACTTACTCTGTCAGCAAGGTATACTCTGTTGTCTCTAGGAGCATAACCAAGCAAATACATTTGCCTATAGTATGGCGTGGTATAATACAATACAATACAATACAATAATAAAGTGTTAGTTTATCATGTCAATACTTATTAATATATATATATATATATATATATACACTTTTCTACAGTGCAAATTTCAACAAAAAGAAAATAACAGTCTGTTTAGTTCTTCTTTATCAAACTTACTTATCAAAATGACTGATAGTAAAGGTCTCTCCACCGACTAGATAGTTCATGCGGTTAGCATTGTTGGTATAAATAAAGCAATCTCCAGCCCAGGCACCAGTCTTGACACTAAAGTAAATGTAATGATTTTTTTATTAAAAAAAATATTAGCTTTATTTCATTCTTTATTTCATTTTTTGTCATTATATGTATATATATAAGGTTGGTTAAAGTATATTATACTATATTACTTACGTCTCGGCAATCTCAGTAACAAACTCGAATGCTTCTTCTACACCTTCCTCTCCGACATCACCGCCATTTTCAATGAATTGAAGATAGGCTTGCGAGCTGTATCGCAAGACATAGAAAGAGTCTTCGCATGCAATAGTAACAAGATCACCAGCATCAGACCAAAACACCTAAGTTTAAGAAAAACAAAAAAAAACAAAAAAATTAACCTTAAGTTCTTTCTTTCAATAACTAAAAGAAAGAAACAAAAAAAAAAAGATTACTTACATTTCTAGCTTCTACATCAATACGACGCACGACTGATCCTGTTTCCCAGTCATAAAAGTTTAGGAAACTGTTTGATCTGACACCCAACAAAGCACCACCAAAGACACCCTCGGCAGAGTAGTTGAGTTTTGGCAAAAGACCAGATCGTTCTTTGAAGTTCTTGAAAACCTTGACACGAGAAGTTGATTCACGTACAGCATATCTGAATATTGTTGTTATATATATATATTTAGTATTTTCATATAAACAACATCTTTAGGGCCATAACCACAATTACCACCATCTTTTTCACTCCACTCATACACTCATATATATACTTACACGTTTGAGTCTGCACCCCACACAAATTCTAATCCACTGCCAAAACTCTTGTTTCTCCAGGCAAGGGCAGTGTAGATAATGTACTCGCCATCGCCACACACTACTACAAAACGACCATTGGGAGAGTGCTGAAGAGTCTGGGGATAGACTTCACAGCTACCAAGGTCCTTGACAGGAAGTGCAAGACGCTCGCCATCCTTGATTGCATCATCTACACCAATAACACCAAGAAAATAATAAATAAATAAATAAATAAATAAATATATATATATATGTTTGGAACTTACCAGCTCCTGCTTTAATGTTGGCCGTCTGGATCTCCGAGTGTTTGGCCCAGATGATCTTGCCAGATGCATCCATCGAGACGGCAGGTTCTTCGCGACCCAGCTTGATGACAACCGAACCCTCGTCATAGCCAAAGGCGACATTGTTGCCTCCCTTTTGGTAGGACATGCACCAGGCACGTTCGAGGCCATAGTTGAGCGTGTTTTCGAGACGGTAGGTGTCCGAGTGCCAGATGCGGACCGTGCCATCTTCTGAGCCCGAGATGATGATCGGCAGTTCGGGGTGGAAGGCCGCAAAGTTTACGTTCTGGTTGTGGCCTTCCAAGGTCTGGACACAGTTCTTGTTTTGGTAGTCCCAGATCTTGACCAGGTTGTCGTCCGCACATGAGATCAGATAGGGTTTGTCGCCGCCGTGGTAGTAGTCGACGTAATTAACGCCCTTTTCGTGGCCCTCGAGTGTGAAGTTGGGCACGTTGGATCCGAGTGCCCAGACCTTGATCACGCCGTCCAAGCCAGCCGAGGCAAATGTGTTGGAGTCTTTGGGGTTAAAAGTCAAGTGCATAACAAAATGAGAATGACCCTCGAACACCTACAAAACAAAACAAAAAAAAAACAAAACAAAATTTGAATGTTATGGATGTTTGAGATCCTGTGTTCTTCATCCTTTGGGTCTTTATTACCTGAGCACACTTCCATCCCTTTTCCCAATCCCACAGACGAATTGTCATGTCATCAGAACCAGAAAGAACCAGGGGCTGTGTGGGATGTACGGCTAAACAACGGATGTAATCTGGATGGCCTTCAAAGCTGGCAACCTTTTCATAGGTGTTGTAGTTGAAGACTCTGATCTGAGAATCATCAGAGCCAGTGATAATCCAATTCTTACGAGCAATAAATTTGGCAGCTCTCACTTTTGTAAACCAAAAAGAAGAAGAAGAAACGAAAGCAGATCATTCTCATCGTCAGTCTTTTGCTTCCTTATAGTAAGGCTTTTATATATATTTATAGATAGATCTTATTTTGTCTACCCTTTCGTTATCCATCTCTTTAACTTCTTCTATAAAGTAAATGCATATAAATGCTCTATTTACCAGGTGTCTCTGTTACTTCAAAAGACTTGACCAATGCCTGACAACAAAAGAAAATAAGAGAATTACACGCACAGAAATGTTACCAAAAAAATAATAATAATAAAGAAAGAAAGAAAGCGAAATAGGATAGCCGTTCCTCTTTTTTTTTTTTTCTTTTTCTTTATCCAAGTGGTCCTTTCCCATCTAAACACAATCGACTATCTATATACTCCATTTCCTTTTTTTTTTCTTTTCTATATAATAATTTATAAGAAAAATTCATTTGCTTTGTACCTGTGTTTCGTAATTGTAGATGTACACTTGTCCATTGTACATGCTCGCAAGTACCCATGGTTCTGTTGGATGAAGATCCACACTCTTGACGCGGTCAGAACGCGAGAGTAACTTACGCTAAAACCAAGAAAAAGAAATAAAAATAAAAATAAAAAGAGCAGATTCGTAATATAGAGTAGAGTAATGTCAGGAACTGATTGATTCTTCGTTTCGATTATAATGACAAAAAAAAAAGGGATGAAAAGTCTTGTTCTTTTCTTTTTTTTTTTTCTTTTTCGTTGATGCTGATGCTGTAATTTATTTTCTCTTTTATCTTTACCTTGATATCGATTCTCATACCCTATTTTGTAAAGAAATCAATTCAATAATTAGTATTTTTTGGTTCAATATAAAGTACAGCGATGAAATAAATAAAAAATAAAAAAAAAGGAACATAATCGTGTAGTATGCGAGTGTATTGAACAAGACTTCTTCTTCTTTTTGTGTGTGTGTGTGTGTTTCTTATGGTTTCATCTAAACTTGATGATGAAGTTCTTGTATGTTTTTTTTTTTAAAAAAAAAAAAAAAAAAAAAAGAAAAGGAAAAATGGAATCTTGGATGGCATCATCCAATACTACCATTTTGTCTTGTTCTTACTGTCTCTGTGTATCTTTATATTTTATTTTATATTTTATTTTTACTATTATTTTCTTTGAGTTGGTTTTGTTGTTGTTGTTGTTGATATTGATATTGTAGTGATGGTATAATAATTACTCAACCTAATTACCATTCCAAATAATTCTACCAACTGGTAATATTGTGTGCGTAAGTAATATATGTGTTCGTGTAGTGGTGTCAGTATTGGGTTGGTAGGCTGTTGGTGTTTTATATAAATAATATAAAATAAAAAATAAAATTTAAGGACAGCTTAAGTTCAAAGGTAGCGGATGTTTAATTTTAATTGTCAAATAAAAAGCACGAATAAGGCTCAACCAACGTATTCGAGGTACAAAAATCTCAATCTCAATCTCCCCTTTCTCTCTATTGAATTCTTTTTATTTATTTTTTTATAAAGAGAGAAAGAATCTTTATCAAAAATTCTATAAATTCTTCAGTGTGAATGCAAAGGGGTGGAGTAAAACAAAGAGATATTAAAAATACCAAGGCAATAAAGAAAAAGAAAAGCTGGCAAATGTGTATATGTGTGACTGTATGATTCCAAAGATATGGTTAGATACATATAATTGAATAGCTGTGGATTGTAATCTATAGTCTATAAGTTTACTTTGTATTTTGTATTTATTGAAAGAGGGAGGATCTACATGCTTAAGCTTTAACTTTTATAATACACTTACATTGTGTATAGCACAGTTTTAGCCTCTGAAAATTACCCTTTAATTTTATTTTGTACAGCGACAAGAAGAAGAATAAGAAATTATTATTAAAAGTAAGTATTTCACAACCCTCCCTCCCCTCTTTCTCTCTTTGTAATATATATTATATATTACATAACTCTCCTATTAAACCCACTCCTTTTTCTTTTTCTTTTGTTTTTTAACAACAGTGACAGCATCGTAATCAGTGACAGCATCGTAATCAGCAACAACAATAACAACAACTTTGAACCCCTCCCTTGAAATAGAATACTAGAAAGAAATTCAACCAATTTTATATCTATTTTTTTTTTGTGTGTTTTGTTTTTGTCCATCTCCATTACCAAATACCAAATAACCTATACAATCAACATGGCTTCAATGTCAGGAAAGTTGTGGTTTCACAGTGGTAAGAAAAAGATATGAGCTATTTGTATGTAAAGTACATTACAATATAAATAAATATTTCCATTATTATCATAATAGTAGCTGTGTATATCCAATCAATCAATTGATCAATCAATATAATAAATAAATAAATAAATTCATTCATTCATTCAATATAATAAATTCAATTATTTATTTTATTTTATTTTATTTTATATATATATATCTGTCTCTGTCTCTGTCTGACTGTCTGTCTGTCTGTCTCTGTATATGTCTCTGTATTTATTCTTCAATTCAATTCAATTATATATATAATTATTTATTTATTTATTTAGAGGTTCAAAATGTTCATCTATTGTTCGAGTCCTTTACACTTGACAGCCCCTTACACCTCGGTCTAGGATATTTATTGGTTGTGGCGATTTGTTGGGCCGAGCGTGCAATAACATACTGGCTGGATGGTGCGACCTACAAAGGAAAGAAGCTTTGGCCACAGATCTTACTAAAGACAACCCTGTATGGCATTGTAATGACCCTGAGGCTGTTGTACATGCTCATCTGTATGTATTTCAATACAGGCCTGTTTATCACAATTGTAAGTTTTTTTTTTGTATATATTATTATTATTTGAAGTCACAAACACACAATATATATATATATATATATATTGTTTTGATTAATTCTGTAGATATTTGCATTAACCAGTGGGCAATTGGTATTTGAATTCAAAAAATCATCAAAAGTGTAAGTCAAATTAGATTGTTATTATTATGTTTAATTAAAAGAAATATAAATCATATAGTAGTAATCTTTCCGGTGGTGCTGGGTACAAAGACCGAAGGAACGACTATGGCTATGCTACACGACCAGAGGAAGAAACTCAACACCTGTTTGTCCCTCAGGATGAATATGAACTTGCTCATGATATGCAACAAACCCGTGTAGCCTAAAACAAAAATATGTTACATTCTAACCATTTGAAACAATTGAATATAGATATAGATATCTCTTTATATTTCTTTCTTGGACTCTTCATGTCTTCATTTTGGTACTCATCATAAACACATATCTTTCAATATAGAACATATCTCCCTTGTTTTATAATAGTCCAAGCAACAATGAATTTACAAGTGATATTATTATCTTTCTTCTAGAACCAACTACAAAAAAAAGGAGTTGGTATCTATATATCCATGTGAGTCTGAGTGAGTGAAGAGAGGGGGAAGTATGTCTGTGCTTGTTCCTATATATATATATATATATATATATATTTGTGTGTGTTTTTGTGCTTGTGCTTGTGTACCTATGTGTTTTGTCTGTGCCTGTCTGTGCCTGCCTACCTGTCTGTCTATATTACTACTACTACTACTACTACTATTATTACTATTATTTATTTGGGGGAGATAATATATATATATATATATATACAAAAGGGGCAAGTAAGAATAAAATATATTTAGATTTTGTATGTATGTAATGTATGTATTTGTATATTTAATATTTAATATTTTTAATATTTTTAATATTTATTTATTTATTTATTTATTTATTTTTTCCTTCTCATTTATAGTGAGTGACAAAAATATCATCATCTGGCATTATCTTTTCTCTTTCTTTCTCTCTTTCTTTCTTTCATTTTAACTTGCATATCCTATCCTTTTCTTTTGCTCTCTTATTTTTTATTATTTTTTCTCCCTTTCACTTTATATAATAAAATAAATAAATAAATAAATAAATAAATCGATATCTTGTACATGTTACCCCGTACATTCTTTCTGTTCGAATTATTGTTCCACCTTCTGGCTGGTCAGCCTACTCAGGTGGGATACCAGGTCGGAACTGGAATAGCAGACATTACTGGCCCAATTGTACAGATTATGATGATGGGTTATGCCAAACATGGACAGACAGGCCAAGGTCTGGCCCAACGTCTGTACTCCAGAGCATACACCGTTCTAGATCCAGTCTCGGGCAATCGAATCACCATCGTCAACACCGACACTCAGTCCATGGGCGATATCGTCAAACAAAGAGTCGTCTCGAGTCTGCAGGAAATCTACGGCGAAGATGTCTATACCGAAAAGAACATCATGCTAGCCAGTACACATTCCCACAGTGGTATGGGTGGATTCCTGCAATACAGTAAGTGAGAACACCTCTTTATATACAAACTTATTGTTCTTTGTTATCAAATTACTAATCATTTTATTTAACTATTTGTGTGTGTCTAGCTCTGTATGAGATCTCGGTACTTGGTTGGATAGAAGAAACAGTACAGCCAATGGTCCAAGGCATAGTAAAATCAATTCAGATAGCTCACGACAACCTTCAGGAAGGCAATGTTGTTTACAATCTTGGCGAACTCTTGGACACAAACATCAACAGATCTCCTAGTGCATACCTACTAAATCCAGAAGAAGAGCGAGCAAGATATAAACACAATGTAGATAAAGACATGAGTCTACTTGGCTTTAGAGCAAGAGATGGTCAACCACTTGGTCTCATCACCTGGTAATATTTATATATATATATATATATATATATTTAATTTAATTAAATTAAATAATCTTGATAGGTTTCCAGTTCATGGTGTGTCAATCAATAACACAAACCGGCTTATCAACGGTGACAACAAGGGATTTGCGGCCTATGCAGCAGAACGCACAATGAATCCTGACAGTCTACCTGGTAAAGGTCCGTTTGTTGCTGCCTTTACACAATCCAATGGTGCCGATGTCAGTCCAAATACCCTCGGTGCCTTTTGTACCGAGACTGATATCCCATGCGACGGGTCGCGTGATTCAATCTGTCCTGGATCCTCCAAATGCATTGGACGGTAGGTTATAAGAATATATACATACATACGTACATACGTACATACGTACATACATACATGCATGCATACATACATATAGTGTGCTAAAATAACTGCGGTAAATTGACCTATTTGTTTAATAATAATAAAATAGAGGACCAGGCTGGAAGATTGGGCATTTCGAGTCTAATCGTATCATTGGACAAAACCAGGCCACCAGAGCATTAGAATTGTTTGGTCAAAAAAGAAAGGGAAAAGCAATTCCCGCTTCCGTATCCGCATCCGCATCTACATCCGCATCCGTACCTGTTCCTATATCCGTACAAGGCAAGGTTGATTTCCGCCAGAAATATTGGGATATTACAAAAGAAGTGGTCATCACAGCCAATGGAACAAAAGGCTTGCTGTGCGATCCAGCCATGGTAAGAATTAGCTAATGATTTTTTTTTAGGTGTCTGTTTCCAAGCTATATATAAATATTCAAAGACTAATTTTGGTATATGAATAACAAAACAATAGGGTTATTCATTTGGTAAGACTTGTTTTTATATCAATTACGTACTTTACTATATTGTATTGTATTGTATTAATTGAAAAACTATATATATATATATATCTGTGTGTGTGCGTTTATTTTGTAACCTGTAGCTGCAGGAACAACGGATGGACCTGCTATTGATGGATTCTATCAGGTAAAAAGATCATAATAATAATAATAATAATAATGAAATTAAATGAATTATATGCATAATTATTTGTTTGCCTTGTAAAATAGAACACTACTCAAGGAACCTTCTTTTGGGATATAGCCAAAGATCTCGTAAAGAAACCGACCCAGAGACAAAAGGAATGCCAGGCACCAAAGGCAATCCTACTCAACACAGGAGAAATCAAGTATCCATTTGATTGGCAACCAAAGATCCTTGACGTCCAGCTCTTGCGGATGGGTAATGTGTACATCATTGGCGTACCATCAGAATTTTCTACCATGAGTGGCAGGCGTTTGAGACGCTCGGTCAGGCAGAATCTGATTGCCCAGGGTCTAGGCAACAATGACACGGTCGTACTACACACAGGCCCTGCAAATGGATATGCGGTAAGAATTAAAGAATTGAAGAAGAACATACATATACACATATATACATATACATATATATATATTGCTTTTTTTTAAAGATTGTACTCTGTACTTGTACAACCATAGTGTAATATATTTTTATATAGAATAAAGAAGAAATATGTATTAATCAGGGTAAGCGTACTGACCACTCTAATATATATATATATATATATATTTGATAGTCCTATTGTACCACTTTTGAAGAGTATCAAATGCAACGTTATGAAGGCGGCTCAGTAAATATATCTCGTTCCCTATTTCTCAAAATCTTTATTATTTTAATTTATTGCCATGGTTATATACATATATATATATATATATTGGGTGTAAATTTATTAAACTCAAAAAAAAAACTCTAATTTTTTTTTATATATTATTCTGCTTAGACACCTTATGGTCCTTACACTCTAGATGCTTATATTAAAGTATTTGGAGAACTCGTTAGTTCGATGGCTTCTGGAAAGCCTATACTAGACTCAGAACAATTGCCCAACTATGTCAATGCGTCGTATGATTTCTCACCACGACAAGGCGCAGATCGGCCCAAGCTATTTCACCAATTTGGAGATGTCGTGCGAAACGTAGCACCTGTCTATAGACGGCGCAAGGCACTAACAATCACGGCTAGTTTTGTGGCCGGAAATCCGAGAAATGACGGCATGCTCGACAAGACCTATCTGACAGTTGAATATAGACAACCTTCTTCTGGAGATTGGAAAATAATAAAGACCGACGATGATTATGATACAAGGTTTGTAGATAACTTTTTCTTTTTTGGTTGTTTGTTTGTTTGTTTGTTTGCTTGAGGAATTGTAGAATTTGGAATTAGCATTGGTCCATAGAAAATTTGGCAGTGGAGGCGGAAAAATAATAATAGAAAGTTAAAAAAAAAATATATATATATATATGCTTATCTTTTTTTTTTTTTTTACAACCCAATAATAAAACTCATATATAAATTTATAGATTCATCTGGAGATACACTATGCCTATCCTTGGACAATCAGAAGCTACTGTGGAATGGGACTGCGGAGAAGACACGCCAGGTAATTTATATCTATATTCTACGTACAACAAGGCGGAAATAATCAATCCACATATGTATACACATCAATATAAATCTAAAATGCTCTTTTTGTTTTGTTTAGCCGGCTTTTATCGCCTGGGATACTTTGGCCATCACCGCACGCCCTATACAAAGTAAGTACCGCAAATGATTACAAAAGAGTCGAGATAATTTACATGAGCAGGAATAATTTTGATCCCTAATTTATTCTATTCTATTTTATTAGAGTTGCCATACCACATTCTGGATATTCAAGTGAATTTGAATTGATCTAAAACCAAATACCCTTTCTTTCTCTCTTTCTCATATGTTTGCCTTTAGACCTTTATATATTTTTCATCCCTCATTTCATTCCAATATCCAATATCCTCTCTCTCTCTCTCAAACACACACCATCTCCTTCGCATTGCTACTCTTTATTTTCTTATTATTACCCAATCAGCCGGCCAATCAACAGCCCAACCGACAAATACAAGCAAATCATGTTTGTAATATATATATATATAAATCTTTTCTTTTTAACCTTATAAAAAAATATCAAATAAAGTCATCACCCACACCTTTTATTTTGTTTTTGTTTTTTGTTTTTTGTGATACAAATCAAGCAAACAAATAAGCACAGAATACGCAGAGATGTTAAAACAGAAAGTCTGCATAGACATTACATATATACATTTTATATTTATATTCATATGCGTGTGTGATTCGGCGTCATCATAATCATCAGAGTTACCAGGCATACAGATGATAACATAACAGATAGGGTGCTATGTGTCTTATTCTGTCAAGTTTCATTCGAGCAAAAATATCTCAATTTTTTCTAATATATATATATATATATATATAGAAAGTAAATCAAATCCAAATCCAAATTAAAGCAACCCAATTTTCTTTCTTTCTTTCCTTATTTATTTACAAAAGAAAAAGAAATGGACGACCATGGATCTCATGAAATGCCAATGTGCAGTATGAGTGTAAGTCAATCGGACTCTCTTTTCTTTATTATCATTATCAGCATAATTAAAAGCATATAAAAAAATCATATAGATGTTATTCAATTGGAATATCCAAGATGTCTGCATTGTGTTTGAATGGTGGCACATTCATTCAGTCACACAATTCATCCTGTCTAGTCTGGCATTGGTAGCCATTGCAATTCTTTATGAATTCTTGCGCGCCCAGGCCAATTCTCTTGATCACAAATGGTCAACAAAGCCCTCTTTTCAATCAGACTCACTCGACCACATCAATGAAACGGTTCCTCTCATTTCATCCAAAACACAAGGGTAATGTTTATATTTATATATTGAATATTAATTGCTTTGTATTGAAATTCCAAACATTTGTATATATATATATATATATATTTATATGTAGAAATCGTTCATTGATTAGGTCTAGCCTCTATGCTGTCTTGGTTGCCCTCAGTTTCTGGATAATGCTGGTGTTTATGACCTACAATGGATACCTAATGTTGGCCATCGTGGTTGGTGCAGGAATCGGCCATTATCTGTTTGCAAACCGCCTTTCTACTGATCGGTCTATCCAATGCCACTAACAAATACAAGAAGAAACAAAACAAAACAAAAAAAAAGAAGATGTGTGGGAATAGATATTTTGTTTTGTTTTTCTTCATTTCACTATTTATATATATATGGTTTTACTGCGTGCAAAATAAAGTATTTTGAAGAGCGTATATAATGCCACAGCTAACATTAATATGTAGATCATTAAATAGGTAGTCAAAGTAGTATCATAATAATAATAATAATTATCACTCTCACTATTACCATCTCCACAATTGTTATTATGATTATGATTATGATTACTATTCTTATTAATAGTAGTAGTAGTAGCAGTAGTAGTAGTAGTAGTAGTAGATAGGAGAAACATTATTTAATTGTAGTGTTCATTAACATGGTGATTGATTGCAGGATCATCACCCTCCAAGGTCTTTTGGCACACCGGACATTGTACTTTGCGAACAGCTCCGGCCTTTAACAACGCACTTGCGTCCACAGGAGGGTGCCTGGGTTGATTCTGTAGACTTTGTTGAGTCGATTGTCCAAAGTTGGGAGGAATATAAGGGTTCATTGGGTCTTGAAAAGCAGAAAATGATTGTTGCCCGTAAAACGATTGTTGTGGTTGTTGTTGTTGTTGTTGTGGCTGTGAGTACTGCTGAGAAAATCCTTGCATCGGTTGCTGTTGGTGCTGTTGTTGCGGTTGCATAGATTGCATTGGCTGTTGTTGAATTGGCTGTTGTTGAAAGTTTGACGAATAGGGCTGATTGTATTGAGCAGACGACTGAAATAGAGGAGACTGCAAGGACGTAGTAGCATAGCCAGGTGAAGAAAGTTGTCCTGTCTGTTGAGGGTATGTAGATAGTCCAGAAGTCTGGTACCCTAGCCCCCCTCCAAACCCTCCTCCTCCTCCTCCTCCTCCTCCTAATCCTAATCCTAATCCTCCACCTTGTTGTTGTTGTTGCTGCTGCTGCTGCTGTTGTTGTTGTTGTAATTGAAAAGAACCTGGTTGAGGTGACCAAGGCTGGTTCGTATTAAAAGGAGTATTCCAAGTCTCTGTATTCACCAAGTTTTGCTGAATAGCAGGAGGTCCAACTGATGAAGGATAGTTTTGTTGATGAGGAACTCCAAACTCATTTCGACTACGGAATGGGTTATTATCCATGGTAAAGTATGATAAGGAAGAAGAAAATAATATATTATATTATATTATATTATATTATATTATATAATATATATAAAAGGGAAGCAAAAGCAAAAGCAAAAGCAAAAAAAAAAAAAAAAAAAAAAAAGAAAGTGTGTGTCTGTGTGTGTGTGTGTGTGCTGAGCTCAGCTGCGGTGATTTAAAATGAAATTGAGGTCATCACATTTTTACTTTTTTTTCTTTTTTCTTTTTAAATAAAAATCTTTGACCTCAGCATCTTTGCATTATTGATTGTGGGAATTGTTCAAAGCAGAATAATATTAGTATAAGAATACAAGAACTCAATTGTCTACCAATTCTATACACATTTTGTACTTTAATTTTATTTTACTTGCTCAATTAATTGATCAATTTTTCTTTATCCTTAAAAGAAAAGGTTCCAATCAACCAAGGCAATTTGTGTAAAATAACTATGTGTGCTATGTGCACTATGTGTGGTATCATTGTTTCAATTCATATTAAAATTCAATACTTTATTAATGCAGAATGTATATATGTATATATATATATATATATATATATATATCGGTAAAGATAACTAAATATAAATCAAATAAATAAATAAATAAATAAATAAGAATAAGAAAAAGAGAGGTAAATTGGATATTCATTTTATCAGGAGTGATTTTAGGCTTGTAAGCTTATCAAATTTCAATAAATAAAATAAAATAAAAGTAAGTCACACAACACCCTATTAATACTGAGAGGCTAAACGTAAATAAATAAATAAATAAATAAATAAATAGTATATAAAATATTATAATGAAATTTAATAAAGACGAAAAGGAACGTCAAATACCTTTATTATTTTTCTTTGTGTGTATTTGTGTGATATCTGTCTTTCTTCTTCTTTTTTAATAACAACAACAATACTACACAATGCTCTCATCACTTCGTAAACTTACACTCTTGCCTGTCAATGTTACACTTTCACGTACCTACTTGACATCTAAATCCCTTAATCCCAAGAAGTTCACCAGTCGTAAGTTCAACTCTTAAAATAAAATATTTATATATAAAAAAAAAAAAGAGAAAAAGTCGAAACGCGTCTCTATTTATTTATTTTTTGAAATTTTCTGTCTAATTGTTTTAATTATACTAAAAAAAAAAACGAACAACAACAATGCAATCTACCATCTACACATACAAATAAACAAACAATAAAAATAAAAAATAAAAAGTGTTTGAAAATGTACCCGTCAGACCTCGTTCAGGCTGGCAAGTTTTCCTTCGTGATCACCTCAAAGAAAAATTAAAGGAAAGCAAGCCCGACTCGGTCACAGTATTGACAAAGCAACTTGCGATTGACTGGAACAAAATGTCAGAAGCCGACAAAAAAGTCTATACTGACAAGTTCGCCAAAGAGGCAGCAAAACACGACCAGGCATTCGAACAGATCATTATGGAAGCCACACCTCAGCAAATCTATGAGGAAAATCTGCTGAGAAAAAAGTACAAGCTCAAGACTGTCAGAGATCCCAAGGAACCCTTGAAGCCCGCGAACTCCTATTTGGTATTCTTAAACCATTACCGCAAAGAACATCCCGAGAGATTTATCGGCAACACCACGTCTAGCCAGTCTTTAGAAGCCGGAAAGGCTTATGCTTCGCTTTCACCTGAGGAGAAAAAGGTTTCTAATTTATCTATATATTTATAATTATTTTTTTGAAAAAAAGAAAAAGAAAATGGAGAGATAATCCATATGCATTAATTGTGAACCATAGTACTCAAAAAACCTTTTTACTCTATTTTATGTAAAACAAATTCAATAGAAATATGAAGATATTGCACACCAAAATAGAATCGAATATGCTCAAAAGATGGAAGTATACAATGCTCAGATCAAAAAATTCGTCGTAACAAAGACACCCAAATCATCTACCAAGACTGCCAAGGCTACCAAGTCCACCAAGGCTGCCAAGTCCAGCACCACCACCACTGAATCGGCCAATTAAACCCAAGACAAAGCCTATCCTTGAAGCTTTATACACAAAAACTCATGTAACAACCCCTCCCACGCAACCAATGAATAAATAAACCATTTTACAATATACATATAAATGTATAATTAAATAAAGGGAAATCTCGACATTGCATATTATTGTTGTTATTATTATCTTTTTTTTTTTTTTTTTTTACAAAAGACATCATCAATTATTGGTGATGGTGTTTTTTGGTGCAGATGTTGGTGTTGGTGTTGGTGTACACTTTATGTTTTCATGTTTCGTTTCGTTTCGTTACGTTACGTTTCATTTTGTTTCGCTGCGAGTGAAAGGGCAAGCGACTGAGCGAGTGCGTGCGTGAATGCGTGCGTGAGTATTTGTGTGTGTATATACATGTATAAAAATGATCAAGGAGAAGGAACGTCTTGGATAGCATGCGGTGGTGCTCTTCCTTGTACTTCTGTTAACGCACAGTCTACAATATAAGTGTACGGGCCCGACTTGCGTCTATCTACCATTTCATAGGCCACCAATAAATCACATCCTACAAAAGAACACACACACACACACACACGAAAGATATATACATATACGTATACACAATAATGTTTAGTTTTAAGGTTTTCATAATATTGTTTTATGCTTTATTTATGCTTTACTTACTCGGGCAACGATATCTGTACTGTTTCTCGAATCCATCACGTCTAAAGAATTATTATTATTTTTAGTATTCCTTTCTTACACACGCATGTAAATATATATATATATATAATGTTACCTTTTTAATATCACACAGTCGTCTGCCTCAGCTGTGAGTTTGTATGTACGTCGCGTATTTGATACAATGATGGCATTGTCTGTCCGTCTTCTTGGCAATTGTCGCAAATCAACATCAATTACCAAAAGAAACTCGGAACACAGGCAGTAGTAAACGTGGAGAGTGTGGCGTTGATCTTCAGCTTGTGCAGAATGATCTGAAGATGAGACAATAGAAGATGTGACAATCTTTGGCATCGTAAGATAATTATTATTATTATTATTTTTAAAAAAAAAGAAAGTATATTTGTAATTATATAAGCAAGGGACAAGATATATAAATTAATAAAAAGAAGAAAGAAGAAAGAAAGAAAGAAAGAAAGGGTTGGATGTGTGCGTGTATGTGACTGTTATAAGCCAGAAAAAGTAAGTTTGATCAAGACATCCTTTTCTTTTTTTTTTTTATTAAAAAAAAAACCACAAAAATATATAAAGTATATTAAATATATATATATATATAAAGAGAGAGAGGGATATTCAAATCTCTTTTTATTTTTTATTTTGATTTTTAATTTTAATTTTAATTTATTTATTTATTTTTAATATATATATATATATATATTTTATATATTAAATATTAAATATAAATAAAATAATTATTAATATTAATATTATTATTATATATAAACTATATAAAAATTCATACATGTATACACCTTTACAACTTTCTACAAGAAAAAGACTTTATACTTACAATGGTTACTACACAAGAAGACGACGGATCGAGTGAACACTCTGCAGTGTACTCGATCCACACTGAAGATGAAGAAGACGAACATGAATACCAGCCGGGAGGTTACCATCCCGTTTCATTCGGTGATCAATTCCATCAAGACCGTTACAAAGTTGTTCGAAAGCTGGGCTGGGGTCACTTCTCGACTGTCTGGCTGGCTCATGACAAAGAGTGAGGCCTTGAAAACTATAGCAAAAAAAAATTTTTTTTTTTTGAACGCTTGTATACATGTTATTTGTAAAGCCAAAAAAAAAGCTATAGATCTCTTATTTGATTTATCTATATATCTACCTCTATACAAAAGTGTATACGAAGCTTCAAATCCTTATTCTTTATTCTCCTTTTGGATTTGTACCCTTAATCATATAGAAATATATGTCCACCATAAAATAACCTATATTTTTTCTTCTTTCTTTTATTTATTTATATATCTATAAATGATGGTTTCTCTACTATTATTACTACCATTTGCTATTACTACTTCTTTGCAATTTAGGAAAAACATGTACGTGGCTCTCAAGATTGTCAAGTCAGCTCCAAGATTCACTCAGAGTGCTCTCGAAGAAATCAAGTTATTGGAAAAGGTCAAAGAAACAAACAAAGAGGCAGTGGGCTGGAATCACATAGCACAGTTGTTGGACCACTTTTGGCACCAGGGGCCAAACGGAAAGCATGTCTGTATGACCTTTGAGGTCCTTGGAGAAAGTCTATTGTCTCTGATGAAACGATTCAATCACCGGGGAATCCCATCTGCCATGGTCAAGCGGATCACACGCCAGCTGTTGCTTGGCCTGGACTATCTACACCGAGAATGCGGTATAATACACACCGATATCAAGCCAGAAAATGTGTTGCTCTGGATCCCGAATGTCCAGTCTTATCTGGGCCACCCCAGCCAGCCTTCGGATAACCAACAACAAGTACAACAATCAGCTTCGTCTGCATCTCTGCTAAATCAGACCAGTCCTGGATCCACAAAGTCCCGCAAACGTCGGGTCAAGCGAAGAATTAAAAAGCAGCAGGCCAGAGCAACAGTCAGTCTCCACGAAGAATGCCCTCTGCCGTTAGAACCATCCCTAGTTCTCCCCTCATCAGTCCTGGATATCTTGCTTGTTCATCCAGAAGCACTCGACCGTGTGGTTGTGAAGTTGGCTGACCTTGGTAACGCATGTTGGACGAGTGGTGATTATGGACATGTGATACAAACTCGCCAATATCGAAGTCCGGAAGTCATTGTTGGAGCAAGATGGTCAGAAAGAGCCGACATGTGGAGTTTGGCTTGCATGGTGAGATAAACCCCAAACCTATGAATATATATATATATATATGCACAGAGATCAAAAATAAGGGATATACTTTTGACATTAATATTTTGTCTTTTTCTCTTTCCTTTTGCTTTTGGCTTGATAGATATTTGAATTGCTGACCGGTGAATTCTTATTTGACCCAAGAGGTGGAAGCAAATTCAGTAAAGATGATGGTATGTTGATAATTAGTGTAATTATATATATGTTTTCTGCTGTTTTTTTTTTAGTATTATAATTAGTGTAGCAAAAATATATATATATATGGAAATAGGCCCTGAAAAATTTCTTTTTTTTTTATATATTATCACTAATCTATATTAACGTATATAAAAAGATCACCTTGCACAAATCATCGAGTTAATGCAAGTCGTGCCACGAAGCCTAACCACCTTGGGAGAGTATTCTCGAGAATTCTTTGGCAAAAATGGCCAGTTGAGAAATATCAAGAAACTTCGTTATCGTCGCCTGCGGGATGTTCTTCATGACTCGTTTTTGTTACCGCCTTCTGAAGCCGATTTATTGTCGCATTTTCTGTCTCCAATGCTTCAAGTCGAAATGGAGAAACGACGGGCTGCAAAGGCCATGTTAGACCATCAATGGCTGTGCGGTCATTGATCGACGTCATTTCAATCCACTTATTCCCTTTTTTAGTCAACAAGAAATTTCATCACTACATTTATACATATTTGTATACATGTGTACACACTATACACACTACACTACACTACACTACACTACATTACAAAATACACGCTAAACATTAACCATACTATACATATATACATATATATTAAAAAAAAATTAAAATCAAATAAATCAAATATTTAATAATATTTCAAATAATAAGCTTCTTTACTGCTACTACTACAACAGCTACTACAGCTACTAATACTGTTTATACATACATAAATACATACATACATAAATACATACATACATACATACATACATACATACATACATACATATATACATATATACATATTTAATGAATCTTTCACCTACTCAACACCATTACTTTAAGCGACAGTTGGTTACTCTCCAGCTAGAACATGAAATCAATATTCTGCGTGCCCAACCAGACCTGTCTCTTGTCCTGTCAACCGAAAATGACACCCAGTTTCCGCTCTTGCGTCTTGTCTTTCAACACCTTATTCTCAAATTCCCTCTCTTGAAACAAGGCTCGGAATTCTGGGACAAGGTCCAGGAATTCCTCGACCAGTTCTGTAAGATCGACCTCAATACTTTTGCACCGAAACAAAACGATGCCGCCCAACGTCGACTGATGATCAACAAGACTCAAAAGATTCTGGTCATTGCACTCTGTGCGGCAATAAAAACCGGAAGTGAAGAAAGCATCAAGATTGACCCAAGAGATCTCACACCACCGCCACCATCATTACCATTAGTCACTCTTCCCGGTGCCACACTTGTAATAGACATCGTTGGTGTGCGGATAGTCAAGACAAGACATTCTCTTCGAGAAAAGAGCCATGCAGAGTACATTGTCCAGACCGACTACAATGACAAACGATATATCGTCTCCCGGCGCCACCGTCAATTTGCTCACCTACGCAATCAACTCAAAGCATCCTTTCCTTCTCTGTCCTTACCCCATACCCCACCAAACTTCCACGACACATCTGCGCTTATTCGGGAAAAGGATCGTCTATCACTAAGATGCTACCTCCACTCAATCGCACAAGAACCTGGCGTGGCCGTGTCCGACCCACTCCTGATGTTCTTGACCACAGACACCTATAGTCTTACCCAGGAGGACGAGCGAGATCTCAAGAAACGAAAAGAGGTCGATCTTCACCGAGCAGAAGAAGAACAAAAATTTCAGGCACAGCTGGACGGAAAAGTCGAAGAGCTAGAAGCACTCCTGGATATGTTGAAAGCAAAGATCAAGCAACCCGGGGGTCTCTTGTCAGTGTTTGAAGACATCAAGGCTACAGAAAAGATTGAGGATCTTCCGGAGCCTTTACGTAAAGCACTCGAGTGGGGTCGAATAAGGTAAAAAAAAAAAGAGAGAGAGAGAGAGACTCTTTATGTCAAATAACCAACACTTTGTATATTGAATTAATATAACCATATACCATTATTATTTTTTTGGTTGACTTAGTTTTGCTTTTGCTTTGCATAAACAGCTTGTAATGTCTGACGCTGCAACTGAGAATTTGGCAAATCTCAAACGGACTCATGGGATGATGCCATACCGTACAATGGCATTTATGCTCAAACTATCAAATCCAATGGCAATGCTTAAAGGAGTCATGGACTTATTTTTAGCAAGGCCATTTGGCACAAAGAGTTTATTTCAGAGGTAACATAATCAAGAATATTATATTGTATTTTTTTTTCTTTACTATTAGATATATATATATTGTGTGTGTGCGCCTTGGTTCCTGAATATAACAAATAAAATAAACCGAGCTTATTAAAAATAATACTAATATATAAACTGTACGTTTGTGTGTAGAATGCTGTTGGCAAATATGCAAGAGGAAGCCAAGGGTGTGTCAAGGGACATTGATGAACTTGAAAAGAAAATCAGTTGTCCTGCTTTAACTGAAAAACTCTACAAAGCTGTCCGCACACCTCTCTATGGATGTACTGAAGCAGGTTGGTTTTAGCTCAATATGATTCTTACATAAATTAATTTTAACAGCATTAATAATCATAAAATCACAATACTAACTAAACCTACTTTATTTCTTCTTCTTTATTTTCTTTTTCACATGCTTTTGTGTGTGTGTGTTTTTTTTTTAAATAATAATAATTAGAGTCTAGGTCATCCTCTAATCTCTTGACGGTTCTTCAAAACACATCATTTTTACCCTTATTGTCAGACAAAGACCTTGCCTTGGTGTTTGGCGATCCTGGCCTCCAAAAGAAACTTCATCGTCTTTGGAGTCTTTATGCTCGTCAGTACGAACACGACATGATGTCCGAACTTGTGTTTGAAGGCGTGACCGGCGAACTTATCAAGCAGCTCTTTACAATTTTCTATCAACCATTGGCTCAGGTCTACAAGGCCGCAGATATCGGAAGCTCACTTTACCACGTTTCTGCATTTTTGGATGATCTTATCGCCTTGATGGCCGAGTTGGAGGAAGAACAGAAAGAAGGCCAGGATTCTGCGATCGATAGCATCCCACGGTTTATCGACATTGTGCAGTCCCACGAACAAAACTTTTATGGATTTGTCCACAAGGTGTACTCTCAAGACACATCCTGTCTATTTGACGACCTTTTGCACTATGTGGACGGTTTGTTCGGGTTCATGTCAGTCGGACTACCCGGAACGATCGATCTTAACACCGTGGTCGGAGCCGTCAACCTGTCAGATTCAGAAAACAACCAACTGATCGAAGAAATCGATGACTTGTGTGCCTATCGACACTGGCAGAAAGTCAAGCATCTCGAAAAGACCCGCAATCAATTGATCGCTGCTGACAAGGATCCACTTCAGGCCACCACGAATCACCTTTCTTTCTTGAATGGCTCCCAGCTTGAGGACGAGTTTCGGGAAATGGAGTACGAGAGTGAGGGAGAGGGAGAGGGAGAGGGAGAAAGTCAATCGACGGGATCTGTCAGCCAGAGCAGTGAAGACACTAATTCGACTGCGACGAGTAGTCAGGCAACAAGTAGCACCAAGTCTAGTGGGATGGAGTTCCCTACTCTTGAAATAATCCCAAAAATTGTACCTTATTTTGTGGACAGTGTGTCCGCCAGCATCTTTACTATTTAACTGTATTTATTTAACGAACAAACGTCTATATCTATATCTTTAAAAAGTTGGAATATAAGTACGTGATCTAGACTCTGCATTTAAATTCTCTGCAAAACTTCTTACCATTTTACGACCACATCATTTAAAGCCTACTATTCATTCAATAAACTTCTAAGCTCATTTTTACACATTAACTGTAATATATAGGAACCAGACTTTTTATAGGGAAGAGTTACATAAAACTTGAGGAGATGGAAGGAGCTCTACTTCCAAAAAGTGCTAATGATTTATTAATTTATTATTTATATAGTATGAATTCATCACAAAAAAAGATGTGTGTGTCCGAATGAATTTTTCTTTTTGTATGGAGCCAGGAAGAAAAAGCTCAGGATTTTATTAAAGGTCTCTGATTGAATAGGAAAAGAGAAAATTAAAATATTTGTTTGTAAGGTTTTGTAGATTATATGATGTTTTTGGCTTTTAAATTTTATGGTTGTTTTTGTTTTTGTTTTGTTTTAAAAAAAATGGAGGAGTTATGGAGAGTCCAGCTCTAGTTCAGAGCAGAGACGAGAAATTGACTTGCGCGCAGTGTGGAGCACCGCAGAGGGAAGGAAAGGGACAGAGTTAAAGTGGAAAGACCAGTGGTGATCCCAAATAGCCAGGATAGTTAGGCCAAAGACGGAGGAAGCAGGGA